ACCGCTCTTTGGATCGATGAGTCGAGATTCCTTTTGGTCTGCCATTTTTTCCGGCGAGGCGAAGCTTAGAGACGGTCAAACGCTGGTTAGTGGTTTCTAACTTTGATGCTTAATTTAATAAACTTTTTTTGTAAAGATTAATTTAATAAACTTTAATCACATGGAACTGTATGTTGGTATTTTCTTATAAAAAGAAGTGTTTATTATTATAATTGTTATGCCATTATTGTCTATTGGTTGGTATATATGGCGGAAATGCATTCTGATTCATTTTCAATTTATATACGCACCATAGAATATTGGTATTATTAGTCATTCAATTGATATGTTAAAATTTAAAATAAATGAAAAATGGTTTTTTTTGTTTTTTTGTTTTAATTCGATTTCATATTTTGTTAAACGAATGTACAATTGTATCTCTTCATGGGTCAACCTTGAAAGCTTTCAAATTAATTAAGTCGGGTTTGGAGTTTGTTTTATGCATTTATTAATACAAAAATTTGAAAGAAAATATTGTGCAAAGTCGGGCGAATTCTTTTTTTTTGTAACAGTGAATCATGTGATTTGTATTATATGTTTTATCTTCAAAATTTAGGTTCGAATTTGGGACGAGATAAACACTTTGTAAATGAATTTCTCCGGTTGAATTATCTAAATTTGAGTAATTGCTGTTGATTCCCTAATATCATTGTTGGTTTAGTGGTTTTAGAACTTTGATGTTTATTCAGTAAGTGTGAATCACGATGGAACTGCGTTGATGTTTTCTTTTAAAAAAGAAGTGTTTCTTGTTATAATTCTCAATGCTATTATTGTCATATAAGGCGGAAATGCATCTTTATGTCAATTTATATCAGATATAGAGTTTTGTGTATATATGTACAATATGATAGTTTGGTCCAATCTTTGTGTATTAGTAGTTCAATTAAAACACCAAACACCGAAATGAAAATCGTTTCGCTATTTGTTTTTAATCGTTTGAAAAGACTTCAATTTCCTTTTTAAAAAACAAATTTCATGCATCACCCTCATGGATCAACATCTAAAGTTTTCAAATAAACTCACTCCAATCTGGAGAGTATTTAATGCAAATTAATATAATAGACTATTGTAGTTATTAACTGAATATAATCATAGTTGAACTCAATTTGACATAAAAATCGAATGATTATGATTTTTTTAAATCCAAACCGATAAAAAATAATCAAAAATTTGATTTTTTTTTTAAAATGAGCATTTTTATCAATTAAAATCGAATGTGAATCATATTGAATTAAAATGAAACCGAATTGGATTAATATAAAAACTGAATGGTTATAATTTTTTCTACCGGTCGAAATAACTGAAGTACAAATATAACCAAACGGAACGGAAACCGCATTGGTCACTCCTATCACTCTTGCATGGAAAACAGCAACGTTTTCAAAGCTTGGAAGTGGCAAGCTTTATAAGATCCTTGCGGAGAATCTTCCCGGACGGATTCTTCGGTACGGATGACACAAACGCAACCTTCCTAATCCTCTTGTACGGCGCCACCTGCATTCACAAACCACAACATTTATAAAAACTTGGAACCGGAACCTAACTTACAAACATGTTCTAAGCAAAATAAACAGTCTAATTTTAAAAAACAAAAAACATTTCATCTTTGATATATAGATAAACAAACCTGTTTAGAGACGAACTCCATCAGGTTGTTCCCTGATAAATTGCTTCCGGGCTTCCGAACGACATACGCCATCGGAAACTGCCCTACTTCCTCGTCGGGAAACCTGAGGAACAACGTACGGTTGGTTCAATTATTCGGTTATCAACCAGAGTGAGTGGTAATACGCAAACAAAAATGAGTGCGGAGCAGGAGACTTACGGGATGACGGCCGCATCCACGATCTCGGGATGAGTAAGCAACAAAGCCTCTAGTTCAGCCGGAGGGACCTGATAACCTTTGTATTTGATAAGCTCCTTCAACCGATCAACCACAAAGATGAATCCATCTTCATCAAAGTAGCAGAGATCTCCGGTTCTCAGCCATCCTTCCGAATCCAGAGTCGAGCTCGTAGCTTCTTCATTGCGGAAATAACCTGCGAAGACGACAGCAGATTCATTCAGACAAAAACCCGTAACCCATGGCCATGTCCGAAAATTTCTGCATCCCATCAACAGCTACTCCTCATTCTGATGCATTCAGATCATCTTATGGACAAAACCCGGAAGCAATGTCGACAAATTTCCGAATCAGCCTCAGACGTTACCAACAATTCCAAAATATTCAGTTACCTTTCATGATCGATGGACCTTTGAGCCAGAGCTCACCGGTCTGGTTCAACCCGAGGACCCGACCCGAACCCGGATCCACGATCTTCGCCTCCATGCTCGGCGACAATAACCCCGCGGTTCCGTATCGTCGGCTCTCGTCCAGCGTGTCCGTCGAAGCCCCGATCGCTGTTGACTCGGTCAACCCATACCCTTGAAGAATCTTGACCGTCGGATACTTCTCGACGAAGCCCTCGATCACCTCCTTGCTCAAAGGGGCTCCGCCGCAGAGAATCGAGTGCAGCGAGCTCAGATCGTACTTGCGCTTGATCTGATCTGCGCCGTTGATCATCGCAACCAATATCGGCGGCACGAGGGGGAGATAGGTCGCTCGATATTTTCCGATCGCCGACATCATCTCGTGCATGTCGAATTTGGACAGGACGATGATCGTCGATCCGTACGCCAGAAGGCCCGTCGCGAAGGCAGCCAAGCCGTAGATGTGGAACATGGGGACCGTGCAGATGAATCTCTGTTCTCCATGGCCTCCGCTGTCAGATCCGAATCGTTGAACCACTGTCTGGACCATCGAGATAAGGTTTCTGTGGGAGGAAACCACTCCCTTGCTCGCGCCTGTGGTCCCGGACGAGTACAACAGACTCGCCGTGTCGTCCTGGTCGACTCGTTCCCTGACTCGTCTCTCATTCGGCCTCTTCTCCATCATCTCCACCAACCTCCCCGCGATTCTAGCGCCACGCATGGGGCCTACTCGCTCCTCCTCGTCCATGATCACGATCGGGAGATCGGCGGCGATTTTGGGGAGGAGATCGACGGTGGTGAAGGCGATGACGGGATTGGAGTCGGAGATCTGTTTGGAGATCTCGCCGGAGGTGTTGAGGGGGTTGGTGGTGGTGATGACGGCGCCGAGAGACATGACGGAGAGACAGACGACGGGGAAGAGGATGGAGTTTGGGGACAGGAGGAGGACGACATCGCCCTTGCGGATGCCCATGTCGGAGAGACAGGAGGCGACGGATTCGACGGACCGCCATAGCTCGGAGAAGCTGAGGTTCCTGCCGGTGGCCGCGTCGATGAGAGCGGTTTTGCCTCGGTGGGCCTGAGACGAGATGAAGGTCGTCACGTCGAGCGATGGATTCGGCGGCAACGGAATCGGCGTTCGTTTGCTGTAAAACGTCGAATTCGATTTGCAGAAACCGCTCCGAGGATCTACGGATGCCATCTCTCTCTCTCTCTGATCAGAGTTTCTGAGATTTGGTTATGGTGGCTCTGTGACGACTGAGAAATTTTGACTGGGGAGTTTGAGTTATTATAATATAGACGGCGCTGACCACAACGCGGGATTGGTCAGCGAATTTTCTAAAAAGACATTATTCAACGTGGAAAACATTTGTTACTTGTTTGGTCGGAATAATAAAGATATCCCAAAAAATACCTTAATTTTTGAGAAAATAGTCTACTTTATGTTACCAAACTTAAAATCGGGTATTATAAAAAATACCCTTAAAATACTACTTCTACTTCAAGACCTACCCTGGTCACATGTGACCAATATGACCGAAATATAGTATGGTCACATTTTGATTTTTATCGATTATAACGTTAAATCACTAATTCATTATGTTCATACCTTGTATATCTTACTAATCATTTGATTAAAACATCATAAATTTAATATTATGAACAATGAGATCAATATGTGACCATACTATATTTCGGTCACATTGGTCACATAGTCACAAGGGTAGGTGTTGAAGTAGAAGTAGCATTTTAAGGGTATTTTTGATATAATGCCACTTAAACACCATCATCAACTTCTCGTCAATTTTATTTGGAAATAACAAATCGTTACTTAGGATCAAACTAAAATTGGTTTATAAAATATAATTATTTTGTAATAAGTAATGTAACAATTATTAAATTCAAAGTGTATAATTAATGGATTATTAATTACCATAAAATAAATTAATGTATTCCATATTATTAAATTCAAATGGTATATTTTATTGACTACTAGTTACCATAAAATAAAAAATAACTATTTATTGTAATAATTGACTTACCATATTAATTGTTGTAAATTTATTTGATTCTTTATATATCGACTTACTAGTCACTATGGTCAAGACAATTAATTTAGTTATAATGATTTTAAGGGTAATACCGAGTGGAAGGAAGTAAATTACAAATAGATTAATTTATTATCATTACTTAACATGAAATTAAGGTTTTTTTAAATTATGAGATATGTATTATAATTATCGACGAAATTGTTTTAAATTTATTTAATTCTTTTATATATCATCTTGAATATACAATGATTATTATTTTATAGTTAATATCCTATCGATATTATCTTTAGGGGTGTCAATCGGCTAGGTTCGACCCGACCCGTTTCAGTTTTGGACTCGGTTCAGGTCGACCTAATTTTTTCGGATCTATATCACTGAGTCCGAAACCCGGCCCTATAGATCTTGGGTTTGGATCGGGTCGGGTCAAAACCTGGTCCGCATGATTTTGTTCGTTAATATATTTATTTTTTTTTTAAAGATTTATTTTTAAAAAAATTCAGACTTTTTCGGATCACATTGGTCACATAGTCACAAGGGTAGGTGTTGAAGTAGAAGTAGCATTTTAAGGGTATTTTTGATATAATGCCACTTAAACACCATCATCAACTTCTCGTCAATTTTATTTGGAAATAACAAATCGTTACTTAGGATCAAACTAAAATTGGTTTATAAAATATAATTATTTTGTAATAAGTAATGTAACAATTATTAAATTCAAAGTGTATAATTAATGGATTATTAATTACCATAAAATAAATTAATGTATTCCATATTATTAAATTCAAATGGTATATTTTATTGACTACTAGTTACCATAAAATAAAAAATAACTATTTATTGTAATAATTGACTTACCATATTAATTGTTGTAAATTTATTTGATTCTTTATATATCGACTTACTAGTCACTATGGTCAAGACAATTAATTTAGTTATAATGATTTTAAGGGTAATACCGAGTGGAAGGAAGTAAATTACAAATAGATTAATTTATTATCATTACTTAACATGAAATTAAGGTTTTTTTAAATTATGAGATATGTATTATAATTATCGACGAAATTGTTTTAAATTTATTTAATTCTTTTATATATCATCTTGAATATACAATGATTATTATTTTATAGTTAATATCCTATCGATATTATCTTTAGGGGTGTCAATCGGCTAGGTTCGACCCGACCCGTTTCAGTTTTGGACTCGGTTCAGGTCGACCTAATTTTTTCGGATCTATATCACTGAGTCCGAAACCCGGCCCTATAGATCTTGGGTTTGGATCGGGTCGGGTCAAAACCTGGTCCGCATGATTTTGTTCGTTAATATATTTATTTTTTTTTTAAAGATTTATTTTTAAAAAAATTCAGACTTTTTCGGACCGGTCCGAATCGAATCCGGCCCGAAAGCCTGAAAAATTTTCGGATCTCAATATCTCAACCCGTTTCCCGCTATTTTTTGGGCTGAACCGGACCGAGTTTCGGACCTCGGATCACAATTGACACCACTAATTATCCTACTTAATAATATTGGATCAGATTAGAAAACATCATATTTTTTCTAAATTAGATAATATTCTATATATCATTTTTTTATAACATCAACAAATATTGCAATAAAAAATTTACGGATCTTCGCCTAGTAAATAAAATACAGATGTGATACGATTATAATTTTTATAGGACATAAGTACTCGGATACATTTTTACAAAAACTATAGGGGTTAATTTATAATTATTAAAAAATACAGGGAGCTGGCAGCTCTCTACCGGCCTTAAATTGGGCTCCAAATTGAGTACATTAATACCGACGGGCCATAATAATTGGGCTTAATGGGCCCTTTAGTTTTTCTCTGAGGACAGAGATTTGTTCATCGATGAACGGATTTCGGGTGAGAGAGAGAACCGGAGAACGAGTGAAGCTCTTCGGGACATTGCAGTGAGAAGCTTAGGGTTTCGAGCAGAGATTGAGAATGGGAGGAGGGCATGGCGCGAGTACGACTTACAAGGGGATGACGATCCACCATCCGAAGCGGTGGCACGCCGTCACGGGGAAGGGCATGTGCGCTCTCATGTGGTAATTTCTTCCTCCGTCGTTGTTTTTTGTAATCGGATCTGATCATGAAGCGACTCTGCGTCTGAGTTGTAATCCTGTGAAATTCGGGTCGTTCTCTTTTCTTGTTCGTGAAATTGGGTTGATGATGGGAGAAATTTGACAAGGATCATAGGCAATGGGGTTGATTTTGATTCGGACAGGATTTTGTTCCTGGAGGGCTTTTGTTTGTTTCTCTCGATCAGTATTGGCTTTGGTGCATTTTAGTTTTCTCAGAGAATGTGCTCATGAGGACAAATTTCTGTTTGCTTGCACGAGAATGATTGCTTGCGGGCAAAATGGAAGCTTTAGTAAACATCCTTTAGTATCATCCATTTGTAAGGTGGGGAGAAGTTAAACGAAGAATTTAAATCACGGTTTGATTCCATCAACCCATGAGAAAATGATCTGAATGATGTTCCTTCGTGTAGTATGTAATCTGTCTCTGAAGTATCAAGAGTACTCGGAATTGTATGATCAGATACTTAAATTGAGGGGAAGGATCGTTTGTATATCTTAGTTACGTCCTATGGTGAAATTGATTCGCATTTTGTTCCAATTCCAAATGCATAGGGTTATCGAGTCAGATTTTATTTTCCACATAATTTCTGCTGAAGATGTTATCATTAACCCGTTTCGACGTTTCAGGTTCTGGGTTCTGTACAGGGCAAAGCAAGATGGTCCGGTAGTATTGGTAAGACTCCGTCCCATCTCTTCTTCTTCTTCTTCATGTAATATGGTCCGACAGTATCGGTTGACTGCTGAATGTTTTGTCCTTTTCGTGTCTGATAGGGCTGGAGGCACCCTTGGGAGGGCCATGGTGATCATGGTCATGGGGATCATCACTAGGTACCGTCTGTCTATGCCTGTCGAGCTTTTGATTCTTCCAATGCTTCAACATTTCCAATATTCTATACCGAACAAGCTGATAAAACAGAGACATATTCTTGCATTGGGAAGATCATGGCGAAAACCGGTTCTTGTCTGTTCCACATTTCAGTTTCATGTACCTTATGTATTATTATGTACACAACTTTGTAAGACATTCATTCTCTCTGTTTTGCGGCTTGTTCATGCCTTTTCTCCCATTCCCTCGTCCACCTCTCGGGGCTCTCTTGCTATTGTTGTTCGTTTCCCCGTCTGACAATTGGGTTCGGAATAAATTTACGTGATTATTCGAAATATGATTTTTTCCGTGAACTATATAACTAGTTGTATAATGGTCATATATGAACTAATATATTTAAAATTTAAAATGTGTCATTATAGATTTGTCAATTTATTTATTTAAAAATTATAGCTATATGTATGATAATCATGCATTATTTATAATTGTATGTATCATTTTCGAAATGAACTGTCTAAAATTTTGATCGGTATTTTTTTAGAATTAAGAAAAAATCGAAACCGAATGGAAACGAATGTAATATAATAATTAATTAATATATATTTTTATAGAACCGAAAAAATTGAACCAAACAATTAACGAACTAAACTAGAACCGAATATCGAAACGCTCACCCTTAACGTAACTAATATTGGTGTCAAGGGTCAATATGTTTATTGCAATTGTTACAAAACTTTTGCACAGAAAGTGAGAATATCATTGATAGCATATTCACATAATCAATCGCTACACTTTCTCCTTTACAAAACCTCTATCAATTGGTAAGAATATTAAGAAGAGAGACTCTTGTTCTTACCAGCTTCTTGTACACTCCCTCCAACCCTCTCTCTACCTCTTCAATCCCCATTTCTGTTTCTTTCAGTCTCTGCAATTCCTCGGCTACCGATATGTTCCCTCTCTTCATCCTCTCCAACTCGTCCTCCGATAATCCGATCTCATCTGTCTTTGCTTCGATGCATTCCACTTTCTTCGGGCGAAACATCTTAGACACGAACCCTCTACCCGATCTCGCCTTACTTGTAATCAACAAAGACGATATCACTTCAAAACTCGACTCTTCGACTTGTCTCAAGACATTATCGTACGTCTTCTTCTCGTTTCTCTTCATCATTGGCTTTACATCTCTCTCGACCCTTCTCCTCATTGCTCTTCTCTTCGATATGAACCCGACTAAATACCCGTCTCCCAAACTGCTTCTTCTCCTAAGGGCAGATTCGAGATCGGTGACATGTTCTTTCATCTGCAAGAAAACGTCTCTCGCTATGCTGCATATGTCTAGAACCCTGAGAAATCCGTCAGAAACGTCTTCCAAATGGGTCGAATCTTCGAGGGTATTCATCGGGAAATGGAGGAAATCATCGACAGCCTCGTACAAACTCTTCAGAACACCGAGTTTCTGACACGTGGAATGCGTCTGTGTCAGTTTCTGGAGATGATCTTGGATTGCTCGAGTCAGAGGATGAACATCTTCAGGCCAGCTTGACGATCGAACGTGTGAAGCCATAATTTTGTTTAGTGTTGCTGTGAAGTCTTGGTGTGAGATTGAGAGAGATCAGTCTACATACAGGCTCTATATATATCTGTGTGTGTGTGTGTGTGTGTTTGGTTGTGTATATATGCACGTATAGACGAAAATACAGCCTGGAATTTGCTGGTCTGAAAGATAAACTGAGTTTCTTCCGACAGATCTCGTGGTTGTCGGAGACTAAGTGCATCTCTAATCGATATAACTGACACCAAGAAAATCTATAACTTATGTATGTATGTATGTATGTATGTATGTATGTATGTATGTATGTATAATAAACCGGACAACGTGAAAACAAAAGCAAGAACTGTTGGCTGCCAAGTTGTTTCAAATCCCAGCGACCATATATTATATGAAACAGAAATTTCAATGTCTATCGAGAAGTGTATATATTTTTTATTAAAGTTTGGAAAAAAATAAATATAGTGGGCAGTGGCAGTTGCATATAATATAAGATCCTAAACAATATTTTTATTATATGATGATGGGAAATGTGCACGAACGGTAGGTCCAATTGTATACGAACATCCAACAAGTCGCACGAAAGTTCGTGTGGTTTTGAAATTAAGAAAAAAACATCAAACAAGTTGGACTCAGACAGCCTGGAAACATACGCACACACATATATAATGTATATGTATGTATGTAACAATAATACAAAGATTAAATATTAGGGACATTATTAATTATAATAATTTTCTTGGGTTTCGTGATAATCGTAGTTTAGAAAACGGCTGCGGTTTCATTAAAAATACAAGCAAACCATACCATGTTTCCCTAAGGTTTTTTTTTTCTTTAGCAAACAGTTGTGGCAAAAAAAAATGCATTTTGAGATATGTACGTATCTACCCATCTCTATATTGTATTGTATTAAAATTAATATTACCAATGATGAATTTTTAATGGATAGTGTTGAGGGGTTAGAACTTGGAATATATATATATATATATATATATATATATAAAACCCACCATAGGTGGTGGAATGGTGGATATGATGATGTAATGTATCAGCAGGGTCGAGATGTAATTTTTGGATTAAAAAGTTTATATATAAAGGTTGGTCCCGCATATAGAATAGACGTAGTCAAGACAAAGGGTCGGAAAACTATCCTGATTATAAAATATATATATGTAACTATAATGATTTAGAACAAACTATATACCAGTGTAAAACCATTTTAAATATATTACAACTCATAATTCTTGTCATATTTATATACAAAATAAACTGTCTTTTTTTTTTCAATGCATCAATGTTACATTTTTAAATAAACATCTAAAATTTAATTTAAAAGTGAGTGATTGTGATTTGTAGACATAGACAAAATAGTTTGTTTCTGCATTAAAGGCCATTAAAAAACATATTAGAATATATTTAGAAATGATAATAATTTTGAAAATCACCGTGTATAATAACAAAACAATCTTAATCAATGTATGAAAAATACTTTGAAATACGAATTGGTTAACATTTACAGTAATTTGTATAGCTTTTTACCATTTTGTAGGTTGAAGCATACATTTGGGATATAAAATGTTAGACATATTAATTTGCACATGCACAAAATATCGATCTTATGTTATTATATTTCCAAGTAATAATACAAATACAAAAATTGTAAATGCATCCAAAACAAATAAAAATAAAAATATCAATTAATTATGTGTGAATCAAAAAACATCAGGAGAAAAATTCTAAATTTATTCATAAACTCTAAAATAAATAAAAACTTCAAGCATAAGAACAATGCAAAGGCTCTTAAGCTACATAACACAAAAAGAAACAAAACACAATTACACATTTTTCACAAACCAAAAAACAAAGTAACAAACTATCATTACACACAAACTGAGTAAAGATCATCATATGCTTGCTTCGAACCATTAGCCAAGTTTTCCATAGATATGAAAATCTGTTCCAAGTTAGATTTCAGATTCGAACTAACCGATGATTCTGCAGCTGAAACATCCATTCTTCTCTGCAGTGTTTGGACAAAGTACCTCTGAATCTTCTGCTCTTCCTTCTCCATGGTCATGAGTTTCCTCTCGACATCCTTATCGCCGATCATAACATTCCTCTGTTGCATCTCGAGTTTTTGTTTCTTCATTTGACGGGTTATAAGCGTTAAAAGCGCATAAACTGCCTCGGTAACTTCCTTCTCCGTTGATCTCTCGAGGGTCTGTGTCCATCGGTTAATAGCCCCGAAAACAGGAGGAGCTTCTTCGTTCAGATCTGGTGTCTGTTCTTGAGGTTCTTGCATCAAACATCGCATTAGCCAACCGTTCAGGGCTTTGATGCACTGTTTCTGAGCTTCGATCCAGTTTGACAGGCTTTGGTTCCAGTTACTTAGCTGGACTTTCAGTTCCATTGCCAACTCTAGCTGAGAGATGTCGAGATTTCCGTTTATTGTGATTGCCTCGAGCTTCCTCGTGTCTGAGATTATGCGAGATTGTCTTCTGTGGCATTCTAACATAGAGCTCCACATCTTGGACAGCCTGAAATCAAAGCAGAACAGCTCATTTGAGATGTGCTGATTCGAATCCGTGGACACAATTCTAGAGTAGCAAACTTTAGAAACAAAATGTGGCGACAAAGATCAATGAATCGTGAGATTCATGGAGCAGATTCGAGGTTCATGATTATGCAAGTGAATCGGGGAACAGAGAAATTGCCTGTGAATCAATTCTTTCATCTGTGGCCAGAGCTCTTCATCTCGTAAAGTGTTTATCATGACACAGATCTTGTCTATCATATGGATCGAGACTTTCAATCTCGTGGACAAACTCTGAATCAAAGTACGAGTGGCTTCGAGTTTTCGCACATCAGTAGTACCCTTCTCCTCCATCCTCCTCAATTGTTTGAAGTTCTCCATGTGAGCAGTGCGGAGTTTCTCCTCATCCTGCAAATTTCAAAACCCAGAATCTGCAGCTTCAAACAAGAAAGTCACATTTCCACCATTTTCTAAGTATGGAGAAGCTTATTTACCTTCACTTCTTGGTAAAGTTTCTTCTCCCACATGGAGAGCTTCTTCAAAGTAGATGAAAGAGTTCTGTAATCAGCTTCAATGTCTTCAACTGGGTTTTGATTCTTGTGAACAAGCGGATTTGTCTTCCTCGGGGAAGGGGAAGAAATTCCTAAGAACGATGGGCTGAAAGCATACAGAATGTTTGAAGAAGCTGATACAGCAGAGAACAAGTAGGATCAGAAAGTGATGAACAATTTTCTGAACAAAGAATCCGACACTGATTAGGAAGAACTAGACAATTGAACATACCTTGATAAAATGAGCTCTTGTAATAGTATCTGAATTTCGCGGTATCAAACATCTTTGAAACCTCTTCCCCTGCTTCAGAAGCTCTCATGAACAGCTCTTGTAGTTCTTTTGCAATTACCGAGATATTCGGTCTAAGGTTTGCACATTTTGATTCGGCGGAACCATTTTTCTTTGTGCCCTCCATGTTTTTCACTGAACCATCCTTCTTCTTCGTCTTCTCTGAGATTTTCCGGCTGCTTTTCTCGCCTCCTGCTATATTTTTTTCCTGATTTAAGCAAATAGTTTCCTCCTTCTGAACCTTCTTCATCGATCCATCATCATGATCACGAGTAGCTTCCTTGTCCTTCGAATCCTTCGCAGTGACACTGTACGGAAACTCGTAGCTCTCGAAGAAATTGATGAAATCCCAAGCGTAACCATCCGTAGCCGGCGGCGGTGGCGGCGTTCTGGTCCCGGAATCGTAATTCCGGTGAGAATCGGAGCCATACCCAGAGTAAAAAACCGACCGACCAGCTTCGTTCTTCATGCAACCCGTCGACGCGAAGAAATCATGTTCACGACCTGAATTTACTGTTTCCTCTTTCGTAGAACCAAACAACTCGCAACCCCTACCTCTGCTTCTCTCTCCTTCCGAATCAGAATCGAATTTCGGAGGCGAATCCGAGTCGGAGCTACTCAGCGAGTGAACCGGCGAAGACGACGACGAAGACGACACCGCCTGAGAACAACAATCCGGTGAGATTCCTGCTCCGAAGTCGACGTCCGGCTGAGAATCGACGGCTTGGTCGAAGAATCGGTGAAGGACTTCGCCGACGGTACTGAGAGAGTGGAGATAAGCGGAGTGAGCGTCGGCGACGGCATAGCTGCGGCGGAGAGCTTCGGCGAGGAATTTGCAGCGGTCGCGGCAGAGAGAAACCGCCGGCAAACCGTCGAGCTTCGAAGGTGTGCATCCCATAACGGTCGCCGGAAAAAAGTTATCCACGTGAAATTTGGGGAATCGTTTTTACAGTGAATATAAAGATGAAGAGAATATGTAATTAAGATGAAATTATTCGCATTGATTACGAGTTAATAAATTATATATTAAATTATCGATTTTTTTGGTAAACTTAATTATCGAATTTTTAAGGATAAATTTTATTTATTTTTCAAAGGATTAAGAGAGCAAAGAATGTTTAAAGAGGACAAAAGGAAATAAATGGAGGAAGAGAAAAAGGCTGTGGCGGGATTCCTATATAACGTCTCTTTTCTAATTATTTTTTCCCTTTGTTTAAATTTAATTAATATTTTTAAATCTTATTGATTAGCGCATCAATTGTAGAATATATGATATTATGCAAATATTTTGGCACATATTATATAAGGTGTGTTTTGATTTAAATTGTTGTTATATTTGCTATAAATAAATATTACGAAAAAAGAATATATGATCGACCATTATAAAATCATTTTATTCGAACTAAAAATCCAAACCCATTCACCTAATTCTATGCTTAAAATTTTACTGAAATTACACATTTTTCTTTAAATTATGTCTCAACAATCCAATGAAAATTGAGTTTAGAATATGATAATAAAATGATATTTATCTACCTTTTCAAAACAACACATGAAAAATAGCCCATAAAATCCATAAATATAATATAATATTTAAAAAACGGACCAAAATGTATAAAACTATCTCCAATTTCAATAAAAGAAAAAAAAAATTATGTTGCGAAATAAAAGGAAACCCTAGCTAATGTCACAACAACCGATCTAAGAGGACAAACCTTTCGTTTTGAGTAATAATTGCAATAATTAGTACGAAACATTACGTTGGCATTGTCGTTTCATAATAACCATAATGATTTTTTTATTATCAAAATGGAACCTTATGTCATATTCAACTCTTTGAATCATTGAATCGTAAAAAAAAAGCTAAAAGAGAAAAAAAAAAGGTTAAGTAAAGGTTTGAGATTCAAAGCTACGTAAAGTATGCATGGAATCATGCTATAAAAAAAGTACGTATCCTCACATGCACTCGTTTGTATTGTGGCAGATTTATCTACGTACTAATTCTTTTTTTTTTGTTATCGGGTATTCCGAGGAAGTCATGTGAATACTTTCTCCCTAACTTGAGATTCGAATTCGGGACGAGATAGACGTTTTGTATCTTATTTCACCGGTTGAGCTATTCAAATTGGTTATATACATAATTCTTTATAAACTCGTAAATATATCCATATGTGAATAGTTACTTATACATATATAAGTGTTTGTTTTCACAAATTGTTTTATCCGGTTTGATTTCAATAAAAAAAATATAAGATTTATTATATAGACATGATTTTGTAATTTTAATTTCTATTATGGGTGGAATTGGAAATTAATTTTTTTTTACATGTTCAGATTTATACTCACTAGATCACACAACACAACGGTTTTACAACCTTTTTACTGCCCCTGTTTTACAATTTTTTTTTTCTCTATTTGTATATTTATCTAGAGTTTAATCCGGTTTTGTTAAGAGACTATTAATTCCATCACAACAATGTATTTAAGTATAATCTAATTTTTATTTAGTTTGTTCTTACTATTCATTATTCTTTTTGCAATTCAGTTTTATTACTAATTTGGTAAAATAATTAACAAGATGGACGCATAATTACGTCGAAAACATATATATGGAAAGAAAAATTTTGATTTTTATATGTAAAATTACAATTATTTTATCTTGTACATGGGAGTGTGCGTGGAATTTGAGAAGATAAAGGGGAAAAAAAGCAGGTTTTTAAGAAAAATGGTTTGATGAGAGTTCTTTTGCTCAAAATGAGTATTATCTCAAAAGATGGGAATCTTGTTTGGGATGTTGGTGGATTTCCACCTCCTCAAATTTTGTCCCCATTTACTTTATATACACACATATAGATATATACACATCGTCTATATATATATATATATATATATATATATATATATATATCATCCTTATGATTTTTATATGTTTTAGGATACAGATAAATCAAATCCCACAACAAAAATTTTCATGAAGAGATGTTATTGATTTTATTATTATTTTGTGTTTCTGAATTTATTATCTAAAAAAATGAATTAGAATAACTATATATAGTCATATATTATAATAATAAAAAGTGAAAAGGAATATTTTTTTTTTGCCATGCATATGCTCCATACACAAATTTGCCACCATATGTGACATTTGGGGTACTGTGGGGCTACAAAGACCTAACACCTCCTTTGGAACATTATAATTTTTCTTTATATATATATATATACACATACATATATATGTATATGTATATATATAGAAAAAAAAAAAGAGTTGGAAAGGTGAAAGGTGAGGAGGATGGGCATACGAATTTCTTTATAACAAAAGCTTAGAGTTAATGCGATATCGACTAGTTCACACAAATCACTAATAATAGTGGTTACAATATATTATTTTTAGGAGATGTACATATAACTCGCGACTAATATGTCATCTCCATTTATTTATTTAATTTAAAATAAATATGTCCATATGATATTGGCAGTGTTAACCTTTGGAGAGAAACAGAGTGTCTTGAAACACTAGCCGAATAAGAAGTTTTGAGGGGCAGAATGGTTATCGTGGATATAATAATAAACTCCCTATTCGGTTGTTAATATGGAAACATTAACAAATAAAGACTATCATGATGCATTGTGGATGATCATAGCGTATTAGATACGAAACATGATCATGGATGTTCATTTGTGAATGAATACTAGATGATCCGCATGAGATTGACACATATGGATCTGACGTCATGACTAGAATCTCATGTAATACTCAACTTTGAATTCTAAGATCTGAAGTCTCTATATGTACCCAACATGAGGAGTGATATTTTCTACTAAGTCAAACGTCGGAACTATAACGACTGTAGTTAGGAATGTCATGAATTATGTGGAATGTAGTATAGAGCGAATTTGAGATTTTATCCCTTTCTTCATGAGAAGTGAGAGATATCGTTGGGCCCCTCGAGTGAGTTGAGTTTAAACGCGCACAAACAAATGAAAAGTCATCTATAGATTTAATTAATTCAAAGAACGATAAAACACTCAAAATGTGATGAGATTACTGGTTCTATGTCTCTGTTTTGACTTATGATATTGTTTGACAAAAAGGATATAAGTGTTGAATGTTATTTGGTTCGTTAGATCACACTAACCTAGTTTGACAAGGGAGTCATAATATCGTAGACAAAGGAGATGTGATGATACGTAGAATATCGACAAATGACAACATCGTTGATTCATTGACGAAACATCTTTATTCGTCGAAACATGATTGTTATGTTAGATCGATGGATATTAGACATCTAATTGATCATGATTATAATGGTTGGAGATTGTGATGTTTTATGCTCTAGACATGATTATTTGCAAGAACATTTTATTTATGAAGAAGAACATAAAAATACGGATTTATGATAATATTTAAGTGATTTTATGAGAGATTTGAGTATGTTTTTGCACATAGTTTTCTACAGATGTAGAAAACTATGTGCAAGGATTTTTTTTGTTTTCGGATAAACAAAGTTCTATTTGATGATTATCGAAAGGGTAAACCGAAATAATTGTCGTTTTATTGTATCTCAAAAGTGTATTTCTGTAATCTCATTTATCCGTAGGGATAGAATAACGCTTTTAAAAAAGTGTTCTACACGCCTTGAAGCCATATTCAGTTCCCTACTGTTTCATACGTATTTTGATAGGTTCAAAACGAAATTATCAAATCAGATTGAAATCGTTATCTTATCGGATACATATGCATTTTCATATTCTTTATTTTTCTCCAACATGAATTCAACCCTTGAGAACATGAGTTTTATCTGATCTTGTTAGTTTCTGTTGGTTTACCTATTTCACTTGATTTACGGAGTATTATGTGGGACCGATGAATTTACTCCATATCCGAAAGTTCGTGTCGATTGTTTGTTAATAAAAAAACATATTCATCACTTTTTTTCTAGTAAGACAAATTCTCAAACAGCAAAGCTATAAAACAACACGGCTAAAATCTTTATAAACATGCTTCATCCACATTTAGTATAGTCTTGCTCGCTCAAAGGTGGTATTCCATATATATTTTATTATAAAATTAAAATAGAAAAAACAAAATAATAAAATATAGAGAAAATAACATATAAATACCTGAACTTTTACAAAATTCCATATAAATACTTGAACTATAAAACTTCCATAAAAATACCTAAACTTTTAAAAGTTTTATATAAATATCTAGACTTTAAAATCTTTTTTCCAAATAAATACAAATTTCAGGTATTTTTCAAATAAAAATAGGTGATATTATTAACGTAATTTGAATTTATTTGGTAGTTTTTCAAAAGTCGAGATATTTATATAGAATTTTAGAAAAGTTCAGCTATTTATATGGAAATTTTATAATTTAGATATTTATGTGGGATTTTTGTAAAAGTTCAGGTATTTATATGCGATTTTTTCTAAAATATAAAAAAAAGAATGAAATCACTTTTATTACATCTCTTATTTATAGAAAATTTATCAAAAGAAATTGTAAAAAAAAAAAGATAAAATGTAAACGAATAACATGCAATATATTTGATCCAATTAATATTTATAAATATTGTATCGCTTTCAATAATATCTAGATTGTATATTCCCCTCCTGTATTTCCACTTCCACTCTTGTTTTATATAAGCAACTTGTATTGTATAATGTATAATCCAGTTTCATGCCTAGTAAAAAAAAACACAAAACCCAAAAATATTTCAAATTACCAAAAATCCAAAACCTGGGTTCAGTTAGAAATGGGGTGTTGGTATCCTATTTGGGCCCTAAGCCCAAAACACAAATCTCCTCGGCAATGGGAGCTTCCCACATCACAGCTTTTGTTCTCATCTCCTCAAACTCTTCAACGCACCTCTTCATCTCCAAACCGTCTTCTCCGACAACTTCTCTCCTCGCACGTGCGAGATTCTCTCCGACAACCTCGTCAAACACCTTCTCCCATCCTTCTTCCCATTCTCCACGTGCGTCACAAAGCTCCAAACTCGTCTTCTTCGTCGTCGTGCCGTTAACGCTCCTCCACTCCGTCCAACTCCACTCCCTATTCAACCTCTCCATCACTTCCTCAACGCACGTGCCGACACACGTGGCCGTACATGGCCTGCACTTGGCCCCGCTCAGCGGGCCCGGGCTCAAGAGCGATGCCACGGGTACGCCGAAGGGGGAAGGAGGGAAATCGTATGTACGGTCGGAGACGATGCAGAAGGGGAGGGGTTTGGTTACGTAAGGGACACGTTTTGTGGTGAGTTGGGCCTTGAAGGCGGACTCCGAGTTTAGGCGGGTCAACCCAGCCGAGTCTAGGTCCGGGATAAGGGAGAGACGGGAGAGAGCGACGGCGGAGGGGGGGAAGTTGCCGATGCCGAGACGGTCATTGAGACCGCCGTAGGAGGAGCCTGGTGGGACGAGGTAGTGACCCGGTACGAAGTTTTCCGGGTCAAGCGGGTCGGTCCAGTATCCGTCGACTCGGGTCCGGATTATCCAGTCGTATGTGAAGTTGTTTTGGGTCTGGTACGAGTTTATCATGGTGAGACATCCTTCGACGAGGTTGAAGTACTGTAGTAAACCCTGTAAAACCATATGATTTGGAAAATAAGTAGAAAATCGAATAATGATGATATCGGTCCAATATGTAACAGAAAAAAAATCTAAAAACAATGAAAATAATAATAATTCTAAATTTGAACACTCATTCCACTAAGGTATCTGAAGGTCCTTCGATCCATCAAATCTCCCAAATTCGAATTAAAGAAGATAAATTTTTATTTATCTAAATACTTGTCTCTGTTTTGTATGGTTTTTTTACCGCATGATTCATTATATCTAAGGGAAAAAACCTTGAAAGCTTTCAAAAAGTTTCCGGAACATATTTGTTGAGGAAAGCGGGTCTCTGAATCAGGTGGCGAGTCAATTTCAACCTAGGACTAGTTGAACCATTGTACTTTTAATATCCTTTAAGCCACCAATGAAAATTCAAACATTCATAAATTCCAATCAAGAAAAAAAAATAAACAAACCCCCCCAAAAAAAACCCCAAAGAGAAGAAAACAGACTACTAATATAACATAAATATAATTTATATGGAATTTCCGAAACTAGTGCAAAGCCAACGAATGCAAAAGCCCTTAATGATACGCAAGTAATACCTAATGACTATGAATTATTGTGTCAGATATTCCTCAAAAAAGCGTCACATTTATAAAACCCTTTATTACCCTTTTCTATTTCTATATATAATTGACGGAAATGATATATACCGCTGACATCTCTTTGTACAATTTATATGGACTATCACTCGTCATCTTAATTTTCAAAACTATTTCATACAAAACTAATTAAAAAAAAATTAGTATTAATTATATAAGAAGTCTACCCATGAAAAATTTTAGGATCACAATTACCAAAAAGAAGAGAAACAAAGAACCTTGAGAATCACGAAACGGGTACACCAACTCTGTAACCTCACCAAGAAGCAAGAACTTGACCACTTTTCTTAGTAATTAGATTACCAAATTTTCCTTAAATCTTGTATTATTTAATATAATAATAATATGATTGATTTCCTTTGATAATCAATGAGTCGTGGACACGTTCCTTAATTTCTTGCAAAATGGTAATGCATTTAAACGCGTATTTGGAAACAAATCCTTCTAAAATAATTAATTAATCCCCAAAAAGATTACCATATATATAATATATAAAATAATGCCATATTCCTGTCTTTTTTTTTTACCTCATATGAAAACTTAAAACGATCTAAAACTATTATAAATTATTAAAAAAGAAATACGTTTTGATACTAAATTATGATATTTTGTATATTTCCAAGAAATTTTAAATGGTGATCAAGTGGCGCAGAATTTCATGAAAGATCTTTTGTTGAAATCTTTGTCAAGATAAAAAGTAAACTATGACAATTAAATATGTATGGTAATAGAATATTCGGAACGTTTTTCTCCTGAAAATACTTTTTTCTATCAAAGGGTTGAAGGATCCAAAAAAGGTCAGACACGATCAAAATGTCAATATATATATATATATATATATATATATATATATATATATATAAAAGAAATCGAGTTTTTATCGAGTGGACTGTTCAAAAACAGATCCGAATTCGGATAAACCTTAAGAATCTTCTCCACGATCGACGGTCCCGTCAGCTCGAACCGCCGTGCTCCGCCGACCAAACACACCGCAATCCTCGTATCCATCACCTCTTCCCTCCTCCTCCGCCCCCGTCGAATTTCCTCCTCCGTATCCGATGACGATTCACCATCGCGAGACTCGTTCCCAGCGATCGGAGGCGAGTCATCGTCGTGTGACTCGGTCCGATTCGAAATGGTTGCGGTGGTGGCGAGGGTACGGTTGTAAATAAGGCTGCGGAGAGGGGCGAAATTAAAAGGTTCGAGGGAGAGAGACGAGAGAGAAAAGAGGACGAGGAGAGAGAGGGAAGGGATGAGGAGGAGGAGGAGCCGGCGATCGACGTCGGAGAGTCTTCTCGTCACTTGCATTGCGACGGCGTCGACGAAGGCGGTTACGGCGGGGGGATCTGACACTATATATCTTCGCCGGAGATTATATCGATCTTCTCTCTCTCACTGCGACAATCTGCAGATCTCAGTCAGTGATTATGGGAGATTGAGCAAACCCTGATCTGTGAGAACCGTTGTGAAGATCACGATCGTTCAGACGTTTTACATGCCCTTGCGGAATATATTTATATATTTCTGTAGATGTATATATGTTGTGAATATATATATATATACACATTTATATCTACGTGTATATGTGTCATGTATATATATATACACGCGTGTGTGTATGTATGTGAGAATTAAGCACATTTTGCAAGCGGCTTAAGTTTGGTGGAGCGGAAGGTGAAATCGACTTTCAGCGTGGGAGTTTTCCTTTTTTTTTTTTTTTTATATTGCGTTGCGTTTTATTCTTGAACGTTATCTGAGTGATTATTAATTATTATATACCTATAAGTATTTCATTAATCTTTTTTTTTTGTCAAGATCTATGTAATCGCCTATCACAAATGAAATTTAAATTTCAAATTATAAAAAATAATGATTTATTGTTATGTACCAAAAGAGAGAATTTGTTTTATATTAGTTATGTATATTTGTAAATTTAATTTATAAATCATATATAAATCTAAACCGCCCAAAGGATTTTTAGCATCCTAAATTCTAAATCTCGAGTTGATTGATATCTTTATTTGCAAAAATTTGTTTCCAAATCAATATGTAATATCTCCTATTTTTGTCATTCGTCTCACCCTTGTATAGAGATACAAAGAAAAATATTATTTTGTTATTAGTATGTCATAATACCAGGATTATTTATACCTTTAATTAAAAAAAATTATGATGCTGATGCGTTTTTTATTTGGTAAAAATGATAAATTGAAAGATTCAAGTGTAACAAAACATTTTAGTTATTGCTATTTTTTTTATATATACCATATAGTCGAATTACCTGTTTTGACCTTACGAAGAAACGTGGATTTATTTCGTGGTTCTATGATCATTTATGAAATAACACATTTAATTAAATGAACTGTTTTTTTTAATCGAAAACTGTTTTCTCCTATTTCCGTTGCCTATTTCTTCTGAAAAATGTGAATGTTTTATTTGGCATTTGATATTATATATATATATATATATGTCTTTAATTAATCGGTGGAAATAAACCGTATATTTTTACTTGATATATATGTCATTAATTAATGTGTGTTCCATTGAATGTAATTACAATGAGTGAAGGCAATTTTTTTTTATATTTCTTTGATATAAATGCATTAATTATTTGTGTACATACACAAAATTTAACAATATTATCTAATAATAATATTTTATTCGAACTTTCAAGAAGTATAAATATTTGAATACAACACATAGATCATATGTTGAAAGTTCACGTCTTACACAGCAAATTATAAACATGGGGAGAAAAAAGCTTATATAATTTTCATATAATTGTATGAATTTTTAAGATATTATCAGATTTCATTAAAAAATAAGGATGTCAAATGATTATCATAATATTATAATTAAAAGAAACAAAATTAAATAAATTAAATATTTATATTTTAAAACTTTCAATATTTTTACTATTTTTATAGACATTTGATAATATTTTTAAAATTCATATATTACATATGAATTTTAAATAATTGATATATTTGCATAAAAAAGTAAAATACGGTGTACAAAAATATTCCGTTGAGTAGACATTCGCAGAAAATTCTCCTCATAAGAGGTCATTATAGTTTGTTTATAGGACTCCAATACGTTGAAATTGGTATTTGTATATTAGAAAATAATTTATATATTTATTTAGAAGTTTTTGATTAATTCTTGTGTTTTAATATTCTTTTTGGCAAGAGAAATAAATTAACTGTCCTGCTTGACTCCAATTGGTGAAAAATACCAAATTATAGACTTTTTTAAAATTGTTGTTTGCGGTATATTTCGCTTAAAATTCTTCAAGATTTCATTTGAATTTTATAAAGGATTCATAAAAATTATGAAAACTCTATATAAAATATATCATATCTTATTCAAGATTAGATAGTTCAACCGGTAAAAGACGGAACAAAACTTATTTCCAATCAGGATTTGAGTCTTCACTTGGAGATGATATTCACATATATTTTTTCGATTTTCTGGAATATATAGTCGGGCCAAAAAGTTTGGTAAACTTCCCAATTATAAAAAAAAAAAAAAAAATTTCGTATCCTGTCCTGCACTAAACTTCAATTTTCTTACTTTTTATTTTCACAGTGAAACCATTCTTCGTTAAACAAAAAAAAAAAAACTTGTTTCATTGGCCCTCTTAATATTAATTTACATCCACCAAAAAAAACACATGTAAAGGGCTGAGATAAGAAGGCCTACACTATCAAATTGGGCTTTTGATTCGTCGGCCCATTCAGGCGAGGGAAACGATTGTCCCCATAATTTTTCAATCTGCTTTCATCAGTCTGATCTTCGAGTGATTAACCAAATAAACCAATTGATCTAAACCGAATAAACTATAACTTTCTCTAACCAAATTGAATCCGACATAAAATTTGAATTGTTATGATTTTTTAAATCCAAAAAAACCGTATCTGAACTGAATAAAAAATATAACCGAAAAAATATTTTTATAAAATGAGTTTTTTACCAATAAAAATCAGATCCGAACGAAACCGAAATTGATATAAAAACCGAATGATTATGATTTAACTAAATAAAAAAACTATTTATGAACTGAACCGAATAAAAAAGATAACTAAGAAGATGATTTTTTTTTAAACAAAGAATTTTTTACTAATAAAAACCGAGTTCGAATCAAAATGAAACGAAACTGAACTAAACAATATAAAAACTGAGTGGTTATAGTTTTTCTAACTCAACGGAAACTCCAAATGACCACCCTTGCATCAGCTCTGGTGACAGTGCAAGGAGGATCGTCGGGGACTGCTAACGTTTTGCACTTATTAGGCATATTCATCATTACCTTCTTTGTGGAATCTCTACTCGTATAAAACTTCTTTTATTTTTCTTTTTTTATCAACCGAAAGGTTTATCTAGACCATCGGTCCAACCTACATCCTTTAGACCCGAGAGCAGCCTTTGACTACGCTTCACCCTCCATGCATGCCGGATCGAACCCTGACCTGGAAGAGGCACAGTCTCACATCCAACCCAAAGGTACCACTCGACCATAGACATGTGGATCTCTTATAAAACTTCTTCAATGGCAGAATCTGTTAGTTGTACAAACGTGATGTGTGTGTATATATATACCCGATGTCAAAACAGATATGGATCACATCCTTTCACCCATATATGATGATTTTTTCTGTCGAACCCACATCCTTTGAAACGAAATTTTGACAAAAAGATATTCACTGCTCTCGCATCGTTCTCTGTGTCAGTATCATACGATGAGAGGGGTAAGACTGGAAGATATGTCTTGTAAGAATCTTAAACACTCGTAAGAAAAAAACAAAAATTTTCTTTCAGGTATCAAATTTGTAGAATTCAGTTTCAGAATTTCACATTAAACACCAAATAAATTGGTTTAACTAAAAAGAAAGACCCAAGTTTTGGTGGATAATTGGTAAAGTATGGAGCAAACCTATTTCTCAAACCATGTTCGAGTCTCCATTTAGGAGGGCATCCACCTGCGTTTTCCGATCTTTAGAGAGTTATGGTCGGATCAAAGACGCGCCAAACGGATTATAAAAAGAACTAAAAAAAAGCAAAAAATATATTGTATTCCCCAAATATGAACAGTCACTGACAAATGAAGGCCACAAGCAAAAAAAAAAAAAAAAAAAAAAAAAAAAAAAAAAAAAAAAAAAAAAAAAAAAAAAAAAAAAAAAAAAAAAAAAAAAAAAAAAAAAAAAAAAAAAAAAAAAAAAAAAAAAAAAAAAAAAAAAAAAAAAAAAAAAAAAAAAAAAAAAAAAAAAAAAAAAAAAAAAAAAAAAAAAAAAAAAAAAAAAAAAAAAAAAAAAAAAAAAAAAAAAAAAAAAAAAAAAGAAAAAGAGAAAAGATTTTCCTGTTTCAATGTTTCACATCTCTCTCTTCCTTTTTTTTTTTTTTTTTGTTAAAAGTTTCACATCTCTCTTCTTGCTTCTAACCCCTCTTATGTTATGAAATCCCCCTCTCACCTTTCTCTTAACCTTATACAGTCTCCCACCAAGCTATAATCCTGATTATCAACGTAAAACGACTGAAGAAAAAAAAATGTTTGTAGAAGATCAATCCTGCCCTCGGATTCTCGGACACTTCTTTTCTCTATCTCGGAGACGGGTCTTATGTACATGAAACTTTTGATGCAATATGGATCAGAACATGGCTTTATAGCCAACGGTCCGAGACGGGCAGATCATAGTCAGGCAGCTCGGAAAAAGGGCATAATGTGTGATTCAAATCAATCTGAGAGCATTTCTTCCAACTCGGGCTCGTCTGATGAGTTGGATGGATCGTCGTAGTCTAATCTCGTCCCGTTGTATAGCCCTCTGTCCTGGAGGTCGGTCTGTTCTTCCTCGTAGTCAGGCTCTGTCCATTCCGGTTCATCCTCGTCGTTCTGGTCCTCGTTGGTTATGGTAGCGTTTTTACGTATTGCATCGTTGTTTCCTTTCCCATGTTTTCTACTTTCTAACTGCGCCTTCGCCTCGCCCTTTGCGTCTTCGCATATGCACGTACTCGGGTTCTCGTGAAATTCGCCTCTTCCGGGTCTTACTTCCTTAGGCTCCCCCATGAATCCTCTCTGATGAGTTCGAACAACGGAGGAGAATTCCTCCCAAGTCATGTTCTCTTTGCTGAGGAACACCCTGTAAAGCTTTTTGGCATTTGGTCGAATTGTGGGTTTGTGTCCAAAATATCTCCTGCATATGATATAAGCAAAGGTTTTAATCCAGCAGTTTCATCGGATAAACTGATCAAAGGAATCGAGCGAAAACGTTTCAGTACCTCCGCCCTGCTAATATTCTCGCCATGTTGCCATTGTTGTTGGTGACAAATACATCGCTTTCATCACAAACGAGGAAATCAAGTGCAGCCATCCGGGAAGAATACGACGAAAAGGGTTCAAGCTCCTCCTTAGTAGCTATAGTCTCTTTCGAGTAGAAGTGCGGGAAAAGAGCTTTTAGGGGTGCTAATGATTCTTCTCCTCCATATACTTCACCCGAGGCGACGTATATATGAACATCACTACCATATCCCAAAGCTCTAAGCATCAAGCCGACTTCTTCTGGAGTGAGTGGACATCTCCCCTGCCTCCTCTGTTTATCTGGGTTGTTTACCTGCAAAACATTTGTGACAGTAATTAACAATTACAACATAAAAGGTTCATCTTTCCCCGAAGCAAGTCGAAGTTTGATCCAATGTTAATCGACATAAAGCACTGATTCATGACAATAGACTTGTAGCAGGTCGGGATTACATGTAACGTTTTCCACCGTCGTCTTATTGCTCCCAGTTCTCTTTTTTCTTTCTCACCACCGCCATAGTAGCATCCTGAGAACGCAAGCATGTCAGGTTCAAACCTGCAACAAGGAAATAATCTCACCCACATCACGGGAATTTCCTGTTTATTCCTCGATCAAGGAAACTTCAATATCAGACAATTTCTTACTAACGGGCGCGGCCCTGTTCAAGTTTAAAAAAAAAAAGTCGAAAGAGAGGAGAAGAGAACCACAACTTTTTAAGACGAACAGCTTACCTAAGGTGCAAAGCAATGTAGTGTTTGCTTCTCAACCTCATGCGTCGGACCAATTCGTTGCCCATTCTACGAATAGGATCGGTGAACGTTAAAGCATGATAATTCACTCTACACCTTAGCTTCTGCAGTTCGTCGCTCAATTTGTTCGAAAGTCTGTAGTCAAATTTGTTCAGTTGAACTGCCTGAAACAAGATAATTGACATAAGCACATGGTAAGAAAAATGCTTCTTCAAAAGACATCATTCTCTCCTGGTACAAAAGGCCCCAGTTCCATGATTAGTATCATCCTAATGTGAATATAATCCTATATACAAAAAGATTATTGCAGTAAATAATAGAATGAAAGACCTAAGAACTTGCACAAACGATTTCTGAAATGCGGTAGCAATGAACTTATTGTACAACAGACAACATCCTTGATATATTTGTAAAGATTTTTAATATGCGAGATGGAAAAGTTTTAGAGAAGCCGGAAACTTACATGCCTTTTTTGAAGAACGGGCAATACCCGACTGATATAACATTTCGCATTACATTTCCGTGGTACACGCATTCTGCTTGGACTCCACGTTCGCCCCCCTTTCTCTGGAAGCTGCTTTATAATTTTAACATCTTTTGACAGAAACGATATAAACCAATCAACATCAAAAATATCCGAGAAGTCACTGCAAATAAAGAGCAAAACACATCATTATATTGCACAGAATTTGGTTTCCACACTTCATAGAGAGAGAAATGGTGTATGATCATTCAGTTTCGGACCTGGCATCTTTCCAGTAAGACTTCTGGTCCAATTTCGGGATAACGAGAGTAGCGTTTAGAATTCGGGCAGCAGCAACAGCATCCACAATCTGAGAAATAGGTGCAATGCAGAACAACTTACTAAAGAATTACATGATATTGCGAAACTGCAAACAGTGGGGGACAGGATGCAGTGTTCAAGATCAATAAGAAGCCCCAAGAAAATGGTACCACGGCTTAAACAGAGAAAAGATTCATACTTTCCTTATAACAAGGCAAAAATATACAGTCAAACTGATTACAATTATCACCATTCCAAAAGAAAGATCTATCGTGAGCGCTTTTCTTCGTGATTTAGAGTTTCGGATAAATATGGTAGAACATCAGAAATAACAAGGACTAATGGAACGAGTTAAGGAACTCACTCCGGTCCGCTGTTGATTCAAACCACCACTCGTGGCTATCGCCAAGTACCGATCATTCCTCGTAACAGATTTGGCATCTGTAAACACAATCAAATTCCACATGATTGCTTTAACTAATGATCCCCAGAAGCTACTAAGCATCATGCAGGACCCAGAAATCACAATCTCCTAAAACCCTGATGCAACTCTATTATAACACTATCCATGCTCACCAATATGAATGAATAGTAAAATTTGAATTCACTAACTAAAATCCATATCTAATTCAATATACATAAAAAAGTCGATGGGACTTGATGACGTACTTGGGAACTTGCTGCTCGCATTGCTGCATCCATGGAAGAATTCAGCATTCTGCGAACGCCATACGTCACGATCCGATCTCCTTCCACCTTTCTGCCGGTTAAAAACACAACCCAAACAGCCATCAATGAAAGACGTAACAGAGATCCCGCCATTGTCACAAACAACGTAAGCAAGCATTTATTTGCTCATCATATCCATCAATTGGGGAGGGAAAATTTCAAATTCGCGAAGATTAAAACCCTAACCGGAACCCGGAAACTCGGTGCGCTGTTCGCGTCGTACGCTCCAACATTCATCTGCGCCGGAGCAAAAAAAATCCAATATCACAACGCATTACGACAATAGATCAAAAGCTCAAAACACAGACCGAAATAGAGAAAGAGAGGGAGAGAATACAGAGGTGTGGCGACGGCGATAAATGCGATCGGAATCGCCGGGAGGAGGAGCAAGGAATGAGAGAAGAGCGAAGAGGAGGAGAAGAGCACCGGAGACGGCGGAGACGAGAGGGACGACACGTCGGAGACGGTGGTAGTAGTGGTAGCGCCGCCGATGGAGAGCCATGTCGGCCTCTCCCCAGCGCCAACGCCAAAGAGAGAGAGGGAGAGAGAGAGAGAGAGAGAGAGATTTGAAGCTGCAATGGAGGAGAGAAAGTCTTCGTGAGAGAGACTGCGACGAATCAAAACATGTTTATTATTGTGTTCCTGTTTCAGAACAACGCGATCACGACAAGAATATATTTTCTTCTTTTCTTCAAACAAACAAATAAACCCCCTTTTTAATTTAATTTAACTTAATTAAATGGAGGCGGAGAGAGGAAATATTATTTTTTTTTTAATTTCGATTTTATAAAAAGAGATTAAAAAAAACAGTTGTTATGGATTTCTGGGCTCTGAAGGAAAATGATGCACCGCCCTTCACCAGTACCCTCCGACAGGTAGAATTTTATCTCTCTTTCTGTCTTATTTTTAAAATACTTTAATATTTACTTTTTTTGGAACTTCCATTTAGATTATTTTGCCACACTGACCTGGGTTTATTTAGTTTAAAAACTAAATTATTCTATTTTTGGATCCATTTCCATACCATTGTTGTTGGTTTTCCTCCTCAGTCGATGTTGAATCAAAAGCAAAACCCTGATAAATCTTGGGATCGAAAGCAAATCATATGATATGATTAGAATTACGTTATCTTCTCTGATTTAAAGTTCGATCTCGGAACACCATAAACGCTTTACGTCCCCATTTCATCTGTTAAACTATTCAAATTAGATAACTTTCTCTAAATTGATTGTACCAATTAGATATTTACCATATATATTCCAAAATTGCAAAGTAACCAAATCCAAATATAAGAACTAAAGAGGATAGAATTTTTTTTTATTCAAATCCAAATCTATAAATATATCTGATCTTTCAAAAACAAAACGAATACAAATTTTACGCGATTGAATATTATATTTTTTTATTATTATCCAACGAATCGGATTTTTTATATTTTCAGATAATTTTAACCACCATGGAAATTGATTTAAATGATTTTGATTTTATCATTAATCGATCAAAATAGAAATTCACGTTATATTGGTTGTTTTGATATTCTTATCTATTAAACAATAGTAAAATATCCAAATATTTTTCTAAAAAAGAACACATTATGATAAACACAGAGATAAGCACGTCTTCTTCTATATCTTTTATGGGAAAAAAAACGTTTTAGATTTTAACCATTTCAGATTTCAAATGTGTTATATTTAAACTTGTTTATTTAAATTTAAAAAATAAAATAATTTAGTTTTTATGTTGAATTTCAATTTAGTTTAGTTTTCGGATTTGTTTGTTTTTTATTGATAAATATTATTTTTAAAAATATTTTGTATGATTATTTTTTTATTCTATTTTTGCGATTTGGAAGAAATTATAGCTATTTGATTTTTATATAGAAATATTTGAAAAAATATTTTATTTGATTTTGCGATTTGAAAGAAATATTCTTAATTAATAAATATACACTTCGTTGTGTTTATTTATTTTCGAAAATGAAGAGTGCAAAATAGTGTGAAGGAAGTAACGGATGGTCCTTTTTGTCTGCGGTGTTTTGTTTGCTACGTGGTGTGTATGGCGTGGACCGGTTAAGGCGTTAATTTAAACCGAAATCCGTTTGGAATTGGTTGAGATAACCAATTGAATACCGAACCAATAACCGGTTTGGTTAAGTCTGAAAATCGAATTTTGGATGATTTTGTGATCAAAGGGGGTACAATATTAATGTGGTTCGTCGTTTGTATTTGTCTTTTTGTTTCCACAGCATTATTTCAGTGACTCATCTTTCAACCATACCATATGCACATCACGTTGGACCCATCCGTACAGTAAATATTTAATACATGATATTATTTTTGAAATCAATGTAGTATAATAATTAGAGTAGAGATTTAGGTATTTAGTTCGGGTTCAATTCAGTAATTGTTTGGTTTAGTTCGGTCCTATAAAAATATATACAAATCGATTCTTATATTCATATTCGATTCGATTCAATTTATATTGAAGGAAGTTCTTTACCGTTCTTACATATTCTAGGATTCTTTGAAAATAGAGAGAAAACAGACATTTTGTTTTAAAAATTAAATATAAGAAATAGTTTAAATATCAAACATGAGTATATACCGAAACAAAAATTGTTAGTTAGAGACAGAAAATTTTATTAGTGTAGTTTTTAGACCAAATTAAACAAATCTTAATTAAATAAAAGTTAATCGATACACCAATTAAAACTAAAAACTTAAAAAATATAACTTTTTTTTTTTATAAAAATCAAATTTAAATAAAATTCGAATCAAATTAAAACACAATAAAAATAATATAATTTGTTTTCAAAATCCAAAAAACTATAAAAAAAAAATCAGCAAACTAAAACCCTAAATATCTAACCTAACTTCCTCCTTCCTTTTGTTGGATCTCACCCAATTGCCACCAGATTTAACAAAATCAGATTATTTTTCCCTTGAAAACTTTTAAATGCTATTTTTAATTCATAGGGTTTGAAGGAGAATCAATCATACGTAGAGAAAGTAATAAAAGTATTTTATTATTCCCACAAATATTAATGTCCAGACGCAACTTGTGTCAGAGGAGACAAAAACAAACGTATGCTTGCATTTAATGATGGAGAACCAAAACTCAGCAACACTCAACTCGGTTTTATTTATTTATTTTAGGCTTAAGTTCGTTCAAACCCTTTTTTTATTCGTTTAAAAATCGGATTTATGAGTCAGTTTTTTTTTTCCACACATCACGAATTGGGACCGACGGGTTCGGTTTAGCCAAGAGCCGAGCCAAGAGTCATAAATTCTATAATTTTTTTGCTCCCTAACAATTCTATGCACATTATATTTTTTTTATTTAATTTCCATTCTTATTATTTTGTGAGACATTTTTATTGGATAAATTGATTCTCATTTCCGATAATTTGTCAAAAATAAATCATAAATATGTAAATAGAAAAAGAAATTAAATCTATTCTGTTAGGTCTTATATTTTTAATATAAAAATGATTAGACAAAAAAAGGAGATAAAAAGTGTTATTTTTACTGTATTTGTATTAAACTTGGATAGAATATGACAGATATTGCAGAGAATATAACTTTTTTTTTTGTTAATTTGGAAGTTCACCGAACCTTCGATCTGACTATATATATATCTCTCACAGAAGACCGAGGGAGTCCATGTGAATACCTCTCTCTATCTTCAAGAATCGAACATCCTACGTGAAAATACATTGGCCCACACCCCAACTACTCGCCCACACTAGGTTGGGTCAGAGAACACAACTTGTCACCTCAATAACCAAAACACTTTAAGGATTACGACAACAAAATTTGTCTAGGAGAAGGATTGGCCCAATTCCATAGATAAACCTAATAGCTAAATTTATCTAAAGTTTATAACCAAAAAAAATATTCTAAGTGGAATAAGATTTTCATGATGTAATTTCTCTAAAATTGAAAAAATAGAAATCCAACCGAGTACAAAAATAATCGTTAGACAAGACATTTCTTGAAAAAAGTAAATATATTTAACTTATCAATAAAAATCGAATTGAACAAAATTTGATATAATTTTTTTCAATGACCAATGTGATCATTATACTGTCATTTTGGTCGTATTATCGTATCTAAAGGAGCATACGTACAGAAATAATTTTAATAAAAAGAGGGTATTTTGAATATTTTCACATGGGACTCGATATACTACACGGTTGAGAAGGTGAATTGTCACCGGCGTCGGGCGGAGTTTGGCTAGACGGCAAGGCGTGTAGTACCCAATGTTTCAAACGGTATACAATCCGAAGAGTTGCTTTTGGTGTCGCAATTGGGTCACGTTATACCGCACTTGGGCCCCATTTCATTTAAGTTCATATCATGTTTTAAACCCGGACGGATTTAAAGGCCCATTAAAGTAAACGATAGGCCCGATTTACGGCCCTCAAAAGCACAACGACTAGAAAAAAACACCGCTTTAAAAAAAAATCAATATAATAAATTTAAAATTTCCAAATAAATAAATCGAACTATTTCTAACGCCTATATTAAACATTGAATTTTTAAAAAAAAATTATGAAATTAAATCATGATTTTTTAAATAATTTTTAAAAACAGTTATAAAATTAAACTCTAAATTTTTAAATAAGTTCAAAAAACCATTATTTCTTACAAAATTCATTATTTGAAAAATTCAGATTTAATTATAAAAATTTAAAAGATTTATATATATGTATAAATTTAAATTCCGTATATTTATCTAAAATTTCTTCCTAAATTCATTTATTAGTATGCATTTTTCTCAATTTAAAAAAACAAACATGGAGGAGTGAACTACTGAATACTAATTATACGATTCAGAAGAGAAGCACAAACATACATATCTGCAATATATGTTCTAAATGTTTCAAGAATCAAAACACAAGTTCACAACTTGCTGGTAGCCTTTTTAGTCAGGCTTCCCATGGCCTCTGCCTTCTTCCTTAGGACATACTTCTGAACCTTTCCCGTCGAAGTTTTCGGTAGATCCTCGAAAACGATAGTCTTTGGAGCCATATAGTGCGGAAGCCGTTCCCTACAGTACTTAACGAGCTCCTCGGGGCTCGTTCTTGACCCGCTCTTGAGCTTCACAAACGCGCAAGGGGTCTCGCCCCAATGCTCATCCGGCCTGCCGACAACAGCGGCTTCAAGAACGTAAGGATGAGTATACAGAACAGATTCCACTTCGATCGAGCTGATGTTTTCTCCCCCCGAGATTATAATGTCTTTCGATCGGTCTTTCAGCTTTATGTATCCATCCGAGTGCTTCACTCCCAAATCGCCGGTCCAAAACCATCCTCCTCTGAAAGCTTCCTTGGTTGCCTCGGGATTCTTGAAATACCCGTTCATCACTGTATTTCCCCGGAAGACGACCTCGCCGATGGTTTTTCCATCCGATGGAACGCTTTTCATTGTCACGGGATCTTTAACATCGACCTCCTCTATCCCTAAATGGTTCACACCCTGACGGGCTTTCAGTCTAGCCTGTTCATCTCTAGGCAGAGAATCCCACTCGGGTTTCCAAGAACAGACAGTCCCGGGTCCATAAGTTTCCGTCAATCCATACGAGTGAGTCACGGAGAATCCCAGCTCCTCCATCTGGTAAAGCACATGCGGTGGAGGAGGCGCAGCTCCGGTCATGATGGACACCTTTCCAGGCAGAGGCTTTCTCTCCGATGCAGGAGCGTTGATTATCATGTTCAAGACCGTTGGTGCGCCGCCGAGATGGGTCACCTTGTGGCGAGAAATGCTATCGAATATGCCTTTCGCGGTTACATTCCTGAGACAGATATTGGTGCCACCGAGAGCGGCAGTACCCCACAACATGCACCAGCCATTGCAGTGAAACATGGGAACGCTCCAAAGGTAAATAGGCGACGACTGCATCTCGAATAGCAGAACCGAAGCCAGAGAATTCAGATAAGCTCCTCTGTGACTGTAAACGACACCCTTTGGGCTTGAAGTGGTGCCTGAGGTATAATTAAGAGAAATAGCGTCACACTCGTCCTTCGGGCGTATGACTTGAAAATCCGAATTTCCCGTCGCCACGAGACCATCGTAGTCCAGATGCTCATCAGATCTCTCCCACGGGTTCGTGCTAGAGAATTCTTGAACAGGGTCTCGGATCAAAACAATAATTGGGAGCTTATCACCGGTCTTTGAAAGGAGTTTAAGCGCTCCCTGAGCTATTTGGAGAAACTGCTGGTCTACAAGAAGCACCTTTGCTGTTGAATGTCTCAGTAAAACCGATACCATAGCAGAATCATGCCGAATGTTGAGTGTACAGAGAATCGCACCAGCCATAGGAACGGCAAAATGAAGCTCAACCATGGCCGGAACATTTGGGGCCAATACAGCGACCTGATTATGAAAACAAACATAAATGGGATGCCATAGAAAAGGAAGGAGCAAACTGCAACAGACAACAGATGAGAACAGATGGAAGAAAAGCACAAGAAAGGGCGGCGAAATCTCAATCAGCAAACCACGAAATGCCAAAAACGGAAAGGTTCTCGACTAGAAGAGCTAACTATCCATTTTAGAACTGCCTATAATTTTCTCGGCACATATAGGATTGTACAGTTGGTGAGGATTGTCAAGGACTCAAGGCCTTGAGGAAACATTCCAAACACATATCCTATCAACAGATACGAAATTCGATTAGAGAGGCACTTGGTGAGCATAATTGTCAACAAGAAGCTTGACGCTTTCATTATGGTTAGCATATTTCACATCGAAAAGTCCGAAACCAAACTCCATTCTATTCAACTAAACAATGAACCAAGTGGGCAAAGTGGTGAAACATGAGCTAAGAGTTGTGTTCAAAGGAGCAGAAGAACAACAAATTTGAGATTTTGTAAACTCCTTTACACAAAGTTAACTTCGGACAACATATCAGTAGATGGAATCTTATCTTTTCCCACTTCACTCTGATAGTTATCACTCAATCATCGTCCAGGAAACAAGAAACCCAGAAAATTGAATCAAAATCTAGCATCTTTGGTGTAATCTAAGAACTTATCTCACTAGATTTCCTCGGAATTCTTCGTTTTCCCACTACACAAACAGGCCAGGTTTTCTCGGGATTCTTCCTTTTTCCCGCTAAACAAACACCCAAAAATAAAACCATTTGCCCAAATCCACTAATAATCGTAACGGAGGAACCACAGAATCAAGATCAAGCAAACAAAGCTTCAGAAAAACAGGAATTGTAAATTTACCACGTCGCCGCGCGAGACGCCGAGGCGCGAAAGAGAGGATGCGATCTTGAGGGAGCGGTCACGGGTCTGACGCCACGTGTACCTGACGGCGTCGCCATAGACGACGGAGACTCTGTCGCCGTAGACGACGGGCGAGCGGTCGAGGAAGCTGATGGGCGTCAGAGGAACGAAGTTGGCCGCACACTTGACCGTACCCTCCATCGACGTCGACAATAATTATGCCTTCCTCTCCTCGATCGCAGCTTTTACAGACCCAAGGAAATGGAGGACAGTATACGCTATATCTGAATATACACACATATATACATAATATATATAGATAATATAGTGGATGAAAGGACATTACATTTAAATATCTCGTCTCCGATTTGTCATTTACACATCTCTTTGATGGGTTTTAGGCCCCACAAGATGCTTGGCACGCTTTATGGACGTATTTTGATTTTTGAATATGCATCTAAAAAATTGCTATGTTGTATGTTTTTTTTTGCTATGTTGTATGTTGTAGTAATGGGCGTCAGAGGAACGAAGTTGGCCGCACACTTGACCGTACCCTCCATCGACGTCGACAATAATTATGCCTTCCTCTCCTCGATCGCAGCTTTTACAGACCCAAGGAAATGGAGGACAGTATACGCTATATCTGAATATACACACATATATACATAATATATATAGATAATATAGTGGATGAAAGGACATTACATTTAAATATCTCGTCTCCGATTTGTCATTTACACATCTCTTTGATGGGTTTTAGGCCCCACAAGATGCTTGGCACGCTTTATGGACGTATTTTGATTTTTGAATATGCATCTAAAAAATTGCTATGTTGTATGTTTTTTTTTGCTATGTTGTATGTTGTAGTAATGAAATACTTTTTTTTTTTATAATCCGAAAGTTGACCGAAACTTGTCGAAAACTCAGCCCCTCCCCATGCGTTTGAATCCATAGTGGAAGCATGTTTTGCGAACATCACCGATAGGCCACCCAAATTTGGGTTAGAAATGACATACTTGCATTTAAAAAAATATCAAACGTGGAAGCATGAATTTTAAATAACTTTTATATAAAACTTGTTTTTGTACCCTCCATCGACGTCGACAATTATTACGCCTTCCTCTCCGTGATCGCCAGTTTTACAGACCCAAGAAAATGGAGGACAGTATATATATATATATAACATATCAATACCTAAATTTGTATAAAATATCAAATAAATGTCTGAATTATAAATTTTTCATGAATTTTTAAAAATTATATATAAATATCTAGATTTTTGAAATTTTTTCCAAAATAAATACATATTTAAAATATTTTTTAAATAAAAATAAATAATGTCATTAATGAATTTTGATTTATTTAGAAATTTTTTAGAAGTTTATATATTTATGCAGAATTTTAAAAAAATTATATAAAAATTTTATAGTTTAGATGTTTATATGAAATTTTTGTAAAAATTTAGATATTTATATACGATTTTTCCTATAAATAATATTGAGAGTGGGTGAAAAGATATTACATTTAAATATCTCGTCTCCCATTTGTCCTTTACACTTTTATGATAGGGTTTTAGGTCCACAAGATTCTTGCCATTATAAGCATGTTTTGAATATGCATCTAAGAATGCATGTTTCAAAAATGAGATACTTGTATTTAAAAAAATAACCTAAAAAACACAAATTTTCAAAAATATTTATATAAGTACTTAAAATTTCTATAAAAAATATTTTTTTTAAATTTTAAAAAATATATAAAATTTTAGAATATCTCGTGGATATATATTTATAGAAATATTTGCAAAGTCTATATATTTTTGTAGAACATTTAAAGTTTCATGTATTTGTATTTATATGACAATGTTTGAAAGTTCATGTTTTTGTTTTAACTATTTTACCTAAAAGACTTTATGAGTATTTAAAATTCCATTGTAAATTTACATTTTCACGTTTTAAATTTTTTATTTTTTTTTATTTTCAGAACTTGTAAATTTTATTTTCGTATCAATCTTTAACATTTTTATTGTAATATGAAATTATCATTATAAAAATATAATTCTTCTGCGACAGCCACAGAATCTTTTAAAATGTATTAAAATTTTTATCACTAGAATTTTTTTTCATTGTATTTTTATTTTTACTGTTTCATAATATACAAGTTTAAATATCCCTATAATATATTGTTATACAACTTTATTTTATATTATTTTACTATTCATCTACTAGGCAAAAAATTGTCGTACATTGGAGAATTAGTAGTTAAAAGTTCATAACCGGAGTTAATTTCTCAAATATAGAAATGGTTATTATCAATAGTGAATCAAACTTTAAAACCAAGTTTTTTTTTTGGTAAAGAAAAAAAACAATTTAAAAAACCAAGTTTATAAATTGATTAACCACAAACAATACTAAACTTAATTAATCTTGGGAACACTTCCCATGTTCTTGGCCATCTCTCGCAGGACAACCTTCTGTGTCTTCCCAGTTGATGTCTTCGGGAGTTCGGTGAAGACAACAGTCTTAGGAACCATTTTCTTCTGGTGATCATCAGCAGCAGGAAGTTTCTTCTTACAGAACTCAATGATCTCATCCTCTGTTGTGGCCTCGAACCCTTCCTTGAGGCTCACGAAAGCGCAGGGAGATTCTCCCAAGGCCTCGTCCGGACGGGCAATGACAGCGGCCTCGAGCACGGCCGGATGGCTGAAGAGCAGGCCTTCAATCTCGGTCGAACCCACCATCACTCCTCCGGTCACTATCACGTCTTGTGCCCTATCTTTCAATTGTATGTGCCTGCACATATGCCACATACACATCACGTTGATATTAAGTAAAGTTTTAAACGTATGAGACGATGATAAAAGTCAACCAACCAAATAAATAAAAACACTAAAGTTCAAAGTACAGAAACGTCATCTTCAAGAACATTTATGTTTGGTTTAACCTAGAAATTCAAACATAATTTATTATCTAAAGATACATCTATTTGGGAAATTATGGATAGTTATCGAAAGTTAGAATTATATATTATGTAATTATAATTTTAATACAATTAGTGCTAATATTATAAATATACAATATAGACCGATGGATGCGCCGGTTAGAAAAATGGAGAGTATAGGGATCGGGTAAAAAAAAGGGAAGGGGTAGACCTAGACTTACTTGGGAACGCATAAGAAGGAGAATGATTTGGAATTATTGCAAGTTCCAAAAGAGTTAACCAAAACCGAAATGAATGGAAACGGAGAATTCATGTGACCGACCCCAAATAAACTTGGAATTAAAGCGATATTGATATAGTGCTAATGGGTTAGTTAACTTAGTTTATAGCTTCCTACTAAGATTAGATATACCCTATATCTATATCTATATCTATATATTATTTGGTTTAAGAAATAATATAAAGTTTCATTCCGCAAATGTTGACAGAAAGTTTTAACCTTTTTTTTAAATCCTTTAAAACACGTTTCCTCTTTGTGAAAGGATGAAAAGGCGTTTGTTGACGGCTGTGGCTTTAAGTCAAGATGTGGACAGACATTAACTATCGAAAAAATGTCATGAAAGATTCTCAAGAATTTTATTTTAAGAACATATCTAGAAATTAAATTAATGTGAGTATGGTTATACATTAACCACGTCAAATACTTGGTTCGCTCTCGATTGCGGGATTAATCTGGACCTTTGTTTAGAATACTTGATTACCAAAAAAAATATGTAACTATAGTTCAACCCACCCTTTTATTGGTTTTTAGATCATTTTTTGTATACATATCACTTCAAAAATGGATACTTAAATATATATATATATATATATATATTTATGAGTAAATAAACTCGAGATTTTTTTATTTTTATGTAATCATTTTTTGGTAAATTATTTTCATGTAATTGTTATATAGATTTTTGAATTGTGGAAAATCTAAATAATTCCTAATATATATTATGTATCAAAAAGTTTTTATCACGTATCGCTATATCCGTTTAGATGGCTTTGTATATATGTAATCTCTAGGTGAATTTCTAGATATATTTACGATCGAAGAAACTCCAGATTTCTTTGTTTCTATTAGAAATTACGAAGAATTTCGCTTTTGTATAGAGTTTAGATACGAGTGTATTTTCTATTTGGTTTAGGTTTCATTAATATTCTAAACTCTATATGAATTCAAACTCTTCGGACTTTCCAATAGTTTCAATCACATTATTAAGTAATCGTTAATATATATAGTTTTTTTGTAACCCGAAATGCTGAAACAAAATTTAGATTAATCTCGGGGCTGAAGATCAACCGTGTGATTTGAAATATACGTTCAGTTATCAAACTTGAAGTTCGAACTCGAAACGGGATATACGCTTTACGTCCCGTTTCACCGGTTAAACTATCCAAATTTGAGTGTTAATATATATAGTCTAAGTTATGGAAGAATATAAATAATTTCCAAGAGAAGTACGTAGACAGTATATATATTACGTACCCGTCAGGGTGTTTCACGCCCATGTCGCGAGTCCAGTACCAACCGCCGCGAAATGCATTGGCGGTGGCCTCGTAGTTATTGAAGTATCCGTTCATGACGGTGTTTCCCCGAAGAACGATCTCTCCGATGGTTTTCCCGTCGTGAGGGATGGCCTTCGCGGTGGATGGATCCAACACGTCGATGGCTTCCATCGCGAAATGGTTGAGGCCATGCCGAAGCGCCTCTTCCTTCGGCAGCGACTCCCACTCAGGCGTGCGCAAACACAGCGCCGCCGCTCCGTACACCCATAAGCGTGCGTCACCTTGAACCCTAGCTTCGTCAGCTTCTTTATTGTCTGCCCATTTAGAGTTACACTGTAATGGTTAAAAAAAGGAGAAGAAGAAAAGTTCTCGAGGATTCGTTTGTTAGTATTCATTTGGTAATCCGCTAATGGTGAACCTTCTAAACTTTATAAACTTCGTCAATATATATATATATATATATATATATATATATAATTGAATGCATGAGAAGAGGCTTTAACGTTTTCCGATCAAAACTTTGATCTTTTTGCCCGTGAAAAAATGTATTAGATTAAAAAAAATAGTAAAAATTAAAAGAAAAACATTAACATGGAAAAAAAAGACAAGAACACGTACCTCCGGCGACGGAGGAGTACCGTCGGTCACAATGTCAACGGTCCAAGGGAACGACTTCTTCTCCGTCTCCGTCGCATTAGCGATCATGTTAAGCAACGGCGTGAAACCGCCAAAGTGGGTTACCTTATGCTTCACGATGTTGTCGAAGATAACTCTGACGTTGACTTCACGGAGACAAACGTTGACTCCTCCTGTCGCCGCCACGGCCCAAACGGAGCACCAGCCACTGCAATGGAACATCGATACGGTCCACAAGTAAACCGGCATCGGCCTCATCTCGGTTATAACCCCGACCGCCGTCGCGTTCAGGAACGCGCCTCGGTGGCTGTAGACGGCGCATTTCGGCTCCGCCGTCGTACCGGACGTGAAGTTTAGCGCGATTGGATCGAACTCGTCGTTGGGTCGGACGATTTCGAAATCAGGGTTTCCTGAATCGAGGAGTTCCTCGTAGTTTTGGTGATCAGGGTTTTTCGATGAGTCGTGAACCGGGATTGTGACGATGATGGGGAGAGTTTGGTCGGAGGTGGAGAGGAAGGCGAGGGATTGTTCGGCCACTAGGAGGAATTCCGAATCGACGAATAGGACCTTCGGCTTCGTTAGGCGGAGAGCCGACACGATGGCTTCGGCGTCTAGGTGAGTGTTCAGAACGCAAATGACGGCTCCCGCCATGGGAGCTCCAAAGTGGAGCTCACACAGGGCAGGAACATTTGGCGCCAAAGCTGCCACCTATTCAAATATGTTTTATATATAAGAAACAATATACCAATTCAGCAAAATACAAAAGCATATAATATAACACACAATTTGTTTCGTTAATTTCGCTCCCAATCATATACTTGTCATTGTGCAATAATAGGGTTCTTTATAAAAAAAAAATATCGATTCGTTGTTTTCTGGTTAATTCTTCTCCATGTCATTCAACGCAGTCTCGGTTTTATTTGTATTAACACATATCTAACAATTAAAATTAAATATACAAGTTCACTGTTTCCGTATTTTTTTATCACAATAAAAAATCTAATATTCTATTTTAATTACACGACGGTTGATAATGTACGACGCACACACATATAAACATATAACGATTTCTTATTAACATTTACATGTACAAGATTATGATATAGTCTGCTTAATTTATGTATTGATGTATGTGTGTCTGTATGTATAACATATTGTACGCACATTTCACCTAAAAGATTGATTTGTATATATATATTTATATGTGTGATCACACATTCGGTGCAAGGATTTGCATGAAATATGCTAAAAGCAAATAAATACCACGTCGTGGCGGGAGACGCCGAGGTCTGAGTCCACGTGTACGAAACGTCGCCGTATACAATGGAGGTCCGGCCGCCGTAGACGGTGGCCGCTCTCTCCAGGAAGCTTATCGGAGAAAGTGGCACGTAGTTCGCCGAGCACTCGATCGTTCCCTCCATCTCTCTCTCTCTCTCTCTCTCTCTGTGGGATTGGATTGTTTTTTTTTTATTGGAGGTGGTGGTGAGCAACAGCTGTATACAGGCAGATTTTACAAGTGATGTTTTAATTAATGTACTTGTGTAACACAAATTAGCAAATCTAGAGTTGAGATAATCATGATTAGTGAAAGGGTAATCGAAGTTTTTGTGGTAAGTTTGCGTTGGTAATTTTGCGAACACCTTTTGATTCCACACTTGCATCAATTGACGATGGTTTTACCAGAGAATCTGAGCTAAGTGTCATTTTAGGTGGTTGGTGTTGGATTAGGGAGAAGGATTATTCGGACGAAGGAGGAGGATTATTTAGTGTTTAGGATTTTTGGAAGAGATTAGGAAATATTCGAAAGAAGAAAGAATTTGAAAATTTTTGGAAGAGGAAATGTTTCTTTTTGATTTCTCTTCAAATTTACTTCATTTCAAACTCCATACAAACACACATATTTATACTACAAACTTCCACCTAACTACATATCTAATTCATTTATTAAACACATTTTTACTTAATTTTTTTCCACTCATATTCTACATATTTATAACTACCTCACCAAATTACAATTTCATCATATTTTCACGCATCTTTTATATTAATCACATTTTTCATAAACATACCAAAATATTTATTAATTGATTTTTAAAATCAAGTTTAATTTCAACATTAGCTGGTTGGATCTTGAGTGGAAATGTTACACATAAGTTTTACCAGAGAGGGAAAAAAAAAACAAAGAAGATAGAGTTGATAGAAGGTTTTACCTAAATAAAAATATTTATAATAATAAATTAATATTTATCCTAATATAAATAAACTCAAGAATTAATATGCAAAGTCCATCGGTTCTTGTCACATAGTTTGCATAAATGGGTCCACTTCTCGCTCAACGCATTCCAGCGTTTATGTTTTTGTCCAAGCCTGGCCGGCATTAGTAACGTGAATCTAAAGATTTAATACCTTTTATATTATCAACATTTTATACAAACAATAATTTAAAATTATAAAGAAAAATCTCATATAAATATTAAAATTTTTGTTAAATAATCACTCAAATTATAAAACTCTCGCGTATAAATATATGATTTTTTTAAAATTCTATTTAAATACGCAAACTCTCTAATTTTTTTCCAAGTCAATGATATTTTGTTGGGAGTTTTAAATTATTTAACGGAATCCAAAAAAAAAAGATGATTTAGTAATAAAAAAATCATAATCATTATCCATATCATAAATCATATCACATATAATCTATATCGGTTTAATACTTAAATTACAACCATAATTGAACAAAACCGGTTTCAAATTATTAAACCGATCAGAAACCTTAAAATACTAAAATACTTGTATTTTGTACACTCTGAGTTATAAAGTAACCACTAGTAACAGATTTTGGAAAATTATCAATACAATCACATTTTTTTAAAAAAAAGGGGGACATTGTCCCATTCTCCGACATCAACTCTCGGTTCTTTTTTGTTTTAGACATAAACTCCTTTTTTTTTCTGCGTATAATTATTGCGGGCTTTGATGGCCTTTAATACCAAAAAAAAAAATCTTAAAGATTGCCACAAATCCTACGCTTGAGAATAGGACCAATTGACCAAGTCGAAAGATACAAAACCTTACAAATTAAAAAAAATAATAACGGTTCATTTGCTTTGACAAAATTAAACCAACGGATGTTAGGGTTTCCAAAATGCAATCCCTATGTTGTAACATCAAAATTACTCCAAAACCTAGTTCACACGTCAAATTCAGCTCAATGTTTATAATTATACTAACCCAAAAATTAATTTCAATAAATATCAAACTTAAAAAAAAAACTCTATATGGTTTGACCATAAAAGATGCTTGATTATAATAATTCAAATGTTACATGTATAAATATATATATCCTCTTATTCCAAGCCTATATAAATTGATTCATCACAAACATATTCTTAATTAATCTTGGGAACACTTCCCATCTTCTTGGCCATCTCTCTCAGATAAACCTTCTGAGTCTTCCCAGTTGATGTCTTTGGGAGTTCAGTGAACACTACAGTCATAGGAACCATCTTCTTCTGGTGATCGCTATCATCATCGACAACAAGTTTCTTCTTACAGAACTCGATGATATCTTCCTCTGCGGTGGCCTCGAACCCTTTATTGAGGCTGACGAAAGCGCAGAGAGACTCTCCCAAGGCCTCGTCCGGGCGGCCAACCACCGCTGACTCCATCACGGCGGGGTGGCTGAAGAGAAGGCCTTCGATCTCGGTCGAACCCACCATCTCTCCTCCGGTCACTATCACGTCTTGTGCCCTGTCTTTCAGTTGTATATACCTGCAACATTATGGAGATATATGCCACATACACATCAGAATGATATAATCATAAGTAAGTTTTAAACGTGTGAGAGAAATAAAAGTGAACCGACCAAATGTTCCTCATCTGATGAATAGCATTTATGTTTATTTAATCTAGAAATTAAAAGCATCATTTACTACGTAAAGAAACATCCTTTTAAAACAAGTTTTGCGGTTTTAAGGGCAAGCATTCCCTTAGGAGAAATTATCATGAAAACATGGAGAGTTGTAGTTTTAAATTCATAACTATAAAATAAATGTGAATATGTTTGTATATATATATAACCACTTCAAATATCTATCGAGCTCTATTCCACATATGTGATTATAGTCCAGTCCATCCTTTTATTGATTTTTTAGATTATTGTTTTTTTATATGTGTCACCTCTAAATAGGTATTTATATGCATTTTCGAGAAAAGAAACATAAGATTTCTTCCATCTCCTCAAATTGTTACGTGATTATTAGAAAATATGGAGAGATAGTGTATATTATACGTACCCATCAGGATGCCTAACGCCCATGTCGTGAGTCCAGTACCAGCCGCCTTTAAACACCTCCTTACTGGCCTCGCTGTTGTTGAAGTAGCCACTCATGACGGTGTTTGACCGGAGAACGATCTCTCCGATGGTTTTCCCGTCTTGAGGCACCGGCTTCATAGTGGCTGGATCCATCACGTCGATGGCTTCCACGGCGAAATGGTTCAGACCCTGTCTCGCCCTCAGCCTCAGGTTCTCCTCCTCTGGGAGAGACTCCCACTCAGGCATGGGCAAGCACACTGCTGCAGCTCCGTACGATTCCGTACACCCGTACGCATTCGTCACCTTGAACCCTAGCTTCATCAGCTTCTTCAGTATCTGTCCAGTTAATATGCTAAAATGATTAAAAAGGATGAAAATACCTCGTGGGTTTGTCATCTTTTTGCCGAAAAATCCATAATTGAAGAGAAAAAAACAGTGAAAGCAGGGACAGTGACGTTGAGAAATGGACAAGAAGACATACCTCCGGCGGCGGCGCAGCACCGCCGGTCATAACCTCGACGAGCCAAGGGAACGTCTTCTTCTCCGAATCAGTGGCGTTGCCGATCATGTTAAGCAACGGCGGCGAAGCGCCCAAGTGTGTTACCTTGTGCTTCACGACGTTGTCGTAGATAGCTCCGGCGTTGACTTCACGGAGACAGACGTTGACTCCACCGGTGGCGGCGACGGTCCAAACGGAGCACCAGCCGCTGCAATGGTACATGGGCACGGTCCACAAGTAAACCGGCATCGGCTTTATCGCGGTTATGACACCGACGGCCGTCGCGTTAAGGAACGCGCCTCGGTGGCTGTAGACTGCGCATTTCGACTCGGCCGTCGTGCCGGACGTGAAGTTTAGCGAGATCGGTTCCAGTTCGTCGTTGGGTCGGACGATTTCGAAATCAGGGTTTCCAGAAGCGAGGAGTTCCTCGTAGGTTTGGTGATTAGGGTTTTTGGATGAGTCGTGAGCTGGGATTGTGACGATGATGGGGAGAGTTTGGTCGGAGGAGGAGAGGAGGGCGAGGGACTGCTCGGCCACTGGGAGGAATTCCGAATCGACGAATAGAACCTTCGGCTTAATCAGGCGGAGAGCCCTGACGACGCCATCGGCATCGTAGTGAGTGTTCAAAACGCAAGTGACGGCTCCCGCCATTGGAGCTCCGAAAAGGAGCTCACACAGGGCAGGAACATTTGGCGCCAAAGTTGCCACCTATTCAAATATTTTTTAAGAAAAAAGCAAATATACTAATTCGGCAAAATACGAATAGTGTATATACACACACACAAGCATGGCATAATAGGAATATTTATTCTGTACAATTTTAACTTATTTACTTGTTATTCTCTTTTTAGTACAAAATTCTAGCATTAGAATTTGAATTTTTTTTTTCTCTGTTTAATTCTTCTCCTTATCATTAAATATTGCATCATATTCATAAATGTGTATTAACACAAATCTATATAGCAAAATTAAAATATACATAACATTATCACACCTTTTTCGTATTTTTTGTATCTCCATAAGAATCTAATACTATATTTTAATTTCACAAAGATATTTATTATCTTATAAAAAATCTATATGTAATAGTTTATGAAATAGTCTACTTAATTTATGTATTGATGCACGTGTGTTTTTATATATAACACATGTACCGACATTTCACCTAAAAGATTGATCTGTATAATACACACACATATATATATATATATATATGTATACACGTATATGTGATCACACACACGGTGCAGGGACATGCATGAAATATGCTAAAAGCAAATAAATACCACGTCGTGGCGGGAGACGCCGAGCCGAGAGAGGGCAGCGGTCACGAGTCTGAGTCCACGTGTACGAAACGTCGCCGTATACAATGGAGGTCCGGCCGCCGTAGACGGTGGCCGCTCTCTCCAGGAAGCTTATCGGAGAAAGTGGCACGTAGTTCGCCGAGCACTTGATCGTTCCCTCCATTTCTGTTTTTTTTTTTTGTTCTTTGGTTGGAATTTTTTTTTCTTGAAAGGTGTCGAGGGACAACTGTATTTATAGATTCCTTTTGTGAGTGACGCTGGGGTTAATGTACTTGTGATAATGATATGATTGTTAAAAGGGTAATTAACGGTTTTTTCAATTAATTAATTTGTAATTTGCGATTAGATTCCTTTTTATCTTCATTGCATTGATTGGTGGTTTTCACTAGAGAATCTTAGGTAAGTGTCAAAGAGTGTGGCTTTTCATTGGTTAGGTATTGAATGCAAAGGATAGACACAAGTTTTACCTAATTTAAAAATATTTTCGTAATAATAAATTAGTATTGGTAATATATATATATATATATATATATATATATAAATTCAAAAAAAATAGATAAGATATATATTTTGTAAGCACTGACGATTAAAGGTGAAAATAATTTAGGGTTTACCCCCCCCCACTCCACTCTATGTCAATCAGTGAAACCTAAAGTACTTTTTCTTCAAATCATTAATTCACTTTGTCCCTCGTCGTTCCTCGCCAAAAGAAAAAACAAAGCGAAAATGCGATTTCTATTATCCCTATCTTTCTTAGATTAATAATGTCTAAAAATCCAAGAAACATCTAACTTGAACATATATAAAAAAATAATACTCAATAATTATCCTTTGTACCCATGGGAACAGATGTAATTAGTTCATACTCAGCAATCATCCTTTGTTGTTATTGGATTTACCGCTACGGCTTTAGGTTCAATTGTTACAGTGGCAAAACGATGAAAAAAGACATGACATAATACAAATTATGTTCTAGATAACGTGGAAACACACACACACACACATATATATATATATAGCCCGACAATTGGGAGAATTGTTGAGTACTTGGGTTTAAAAGAAGCTTTATATATATATATATATATATAAATTCCAAAAAAATAGATAAGATACTTATTTGGAAAAATTCCAAATACACACTAATTTATTCAAATCTTATTGATAAATATACTAATTTTTATCTTACAAAAATATACTGATTTGTAATTTTTTTCTCTCTAAATTGTTACATAAACTCTAACGACATTAATTGAGTAACGGTTTCCGCGCATGGTCCTGACTTGGTTCACCAATTTTTTTTATATCACCACCACGTGACATTTTTTTTTACCACATCAAAATAAAACAATAATAAAAATAAAATAAAAAATAAAATAATAATATATGTTATATGTTTTTTTAAAATTTTAAATTTTTGTACTTTTATAAAAATATACATATATGTACGTATATATATATATGTATAGGTATGAAGGTGTATACATATGTATATTGATATACGAGATATGTTTTATACCCAACCACGAAGGGAAATAAATTAGACAGTTTTTTTTTAATGATTTTTGTGTAAGTTCTTCATGTATGAAATATCGATGGATCTCAACGGCACCAACTCGGGTCTAGGCCCATAGGCCCATTTTATTTTACCGAGTTGTTTCCAGAATGCTCCAACTCAGCTGCCAATCCGATTTAGGGCAAAAACTCGGTGAAAGCCCACACGTATCCTCCTGAACTCTCTTTAGCAGTCGCTTCGCTTCAAGGTTTTGGGATTCCTTAATTTTCGATTTCTCAGTTTCTCCTCCTCCTCTGAGTATTTCAGTTCGTGTTTGTTTGTGGTGATGAGAAATCGAAGACAGTGGCAATGAATCCAATGATGAGTGACTTTCTGCGATCACGTTCTGAAATTTCACTTTTTCCCCCGACTTCCATGCCCTAATCTTTAATTCAACATACCGATTTTCATATCGACGGCCTCCGATTTTCATTTCGGTGTGGGATGACGGCAAATGTCTTCTGGCAGAACTTGAAATGTCGTTTCCAGGTTTGATCCGGTTGGGTCATCCAAAAGTTCCACACTTTCGGATTCAAAGAGCTTATTCTCACGGGATCAGAACCATTATCCTAAACCCCTTCACGATGGTTTCCTCACGGCGGCGTCCTTACGCAACCACCACCGCCGATCCAGCTTTGCTGCTTAATGATTTTACCCGATTCTGCTACCAGAGAGACCTTCCCAGAGCTATGCAGGCGATGCTTTCAATGCAAAGATACGGTATTTGGGCGGACTGCATTACTTACTCTGAGCTCCTCAAGTGCTGCTTGTCCCGTGGAGCCCTTCACGAGGGAAAGCTCGTCCATCGACACCTATTCTCCAATGGGCATAGGCCCATGACGTTTCTTGTCAATGTTCTTATCAACATGTATGCCAAATTTAATCTTTTAGATGATGCTCAGCTCCTGTTCGACCAATTGCCTGACAGAAATGTTGTTTCGTGGACTACCATGATTTCTGCCTATTCCAATTCCAAGCTTCATCGGAAGGCTCTTGAGTTGCTGGCTTTGATGCTTAGCGAGGGTGCCAGACCCAACATGTATACCTTCTCCTCTGTGTTGAGAGCCTGCAATGAGCTAGCCAGTGTCAGGATGCTTCATAGTGTGATAGTGAAGGACGGCCTGGAATCTGACGTCTATGTTAGGAGTGCTCTCATCGACATGTACTCCAAACTGGGTGAGCAGAAAGACGCCCTTTACGTTTTCAACGAGATGGTTACTGGTGATAGGATTGTTTGGAACTCAATCATCGGTGGTTGTGCTCAAAACAATGACAGTGATGAAGCTTTGAATTTGTTCAAGAGGATGAAGAGAGCGGGTTTCTGTGCTGATCAGTCTACGCTGACTAGTGTTTTGAGGGCATGTACTGGTTTGGCTCTGTTAGAGATGGGGATGCAAGTCCATGTTCATATCTTGAAATATGATGAAGACTTGATACTCAGCAATGCACTAGTGGATATGTACTGCAAGTGTGGCTGCTTGGAGGATGCCCGTCGACTGTTCAGCCGGATGAAGGAGAAGGATGTGATTTCATGGAGCACGATGATTGTCGGTTTGGCACAGAATGGTTACAGCGAGGAGGCATTGAAGTTGTTTGACCATATGAAAGCCTCTGGGACAAGACCAAACTATATTACAATTCTTGGGGTTCTCTTTGCTTGCAGCCATGCGGGACTCGTTGAAGATGGTTGGTACTACTTTAGATGGATGAAAAAACTATATGGAATTGATCCAGGGAGGGAACACTATGGGTGCATGATTGATCTTCTTGGAAGGGCCGGAAGACTTGACGATGCTATCAAGCTGTTGAAGGAAATGGAGAGTGAGCCAGATGCTGTGACATGGAGAACGCTACTTGGTGCTTGTAGGATTCATCGGAACATGGAGTTAGCAGAATATGCTGCTCATAAGGTCATAACTCTTGATCCCGAAGATCCAGGAACTTACATTCTCCTGTCTAACATTTATGCGAATTCTCAGAAATGGGATAGAGTTGCAGAAGTTCGGAAATGCATGAGAAACAGAGGAATTAAGAAAGAACCTGGTTGCAGCTGGATTGAAGTAAACAAAGAGATTCATGCTTTTATCGTGGGAGACAACTCTCACCCACAGATAACCGAAGTCAATAGTTGGCTAAACCAATTGACCCACAAACTAATTGGCATTGGTTATGTTCCCGACACAAACTTTGTGTTGCAAGATCTTGAAGGAGAACAAATGGAGGAGACTCTGAGGTATCACAGTGAAAAGCTGGCCTTGGCCTTTGGCTTGATGAGCTTGCCCAATGGGAAGGTTATTAGGATAAGGAAGAATCTGAGAATATGTGGGGACTGTCATGTGTTTTTCAAGCTCACTTCGAAGCTTGAAAATTGCTCTATTGCGATCAGAGATCCCATCCGTTACCATCATTTCCAGGATGGAAGATGCTCCTGCGGTGACTACTGGTAGCAGTCAAATGCGACAGAGTATGGGATTTCCGGTTGATGCTCAGGTTATGAAAGAGCTCAATAACAAGAGAGAACATCTAGGCGTCTCCTTAAATTCTGGATTCCCATAGAATCTATCTGTCCAGTCGAGAATTTGGTTGTGTATATGGGGCTCATAGGGTATTTGGTGGCTGATCTTTGTGAAGGTTCAACCCACTGGGATCTCAACTGACTCTACTCCTTTGGACTCTCTTAGTTATGAAGCCGATCAAAGTTCTCCTAGACTCTCTACCAGAAAAAAGGTTTTCTTGTGGAACAATTTAATCCTTGATTGTTTAAACTCTTGGTTCTATTGCTCCGATTTCAATTCATACTTTTTACAATGGCGATTCTCGTTTTGGTCTCCATTTGCAGCATACATCCACCGCCTGCATTTGGTTCACCCCCTAATGCACTTGCAGCAAGTAGATCTGAAGATGATGAGGGTGAAAACCCTGTGCATGCCGCCAATTCACGGTATGTAGTTTCATGTCGAAGATGGGAAAACATGGCAACTGAAACATGTCTTTTTCTTTTGCTTTCGGTGACTACTAGTGAGCAATCGCCTTTCCAAGTTTAGTTATATGAATACAGATGGAGCTGTATTTCATCCAGTTTACTCAATTGCAGGCCCTTGCTTGCATGAGATAACATTTTCCACGGAAGACAAGACAAGTCAGGTATGTGTTGAGTGCCTGTTTCTTCAAAGAAAGTAAGGAAATAGTGTCGTGAACTTCTTTTGTCACACCAGGTGCTGTTTGCCGTATATTCACTCTTGCCCTTCAAATGTTGTGTCACATTATTCCTGCTACATTTTATTTGTCCGGGTATAAAGTACAAGCCTTCTGCTATAAGTCCTTTTTTGTTCTTCGAAAGGTCATATGGTCTGAGGTTCGCGCTAACCTCACTTGTCGTGGTGTCTGAGGTCGCGGGTTCGAATCACCCTCTCTGCATAAAAAGTTAGGAGTAAGACTAACTAGTATATTCCCTTCCCCAACACCCCATTGGACGGAGACTTGAACTGGGTTGGTCCTTGTCAAAAGGTTATATGGTGATTGGTGACCATTTATAAATGCAAACTGAGTCTGCGTTAATGATGCAGTGTTGACTGCCTTGCTTGCTGAACATTCAAGAAGCGCACGTGTTTTCTGCAAACCGATGAGATGGCTTCTCACTTGATGTCTTTGCCGTTGATGGTTGGCCTGAGGTGCTTCTTGCTTTTTCTTGTACATCCTGATAATGTTTAGTTACCCTTTTCTCCTAGACCTAGAGGGCAGATGCTGTATAAATATAGATGCACGTCGAATATGGATTCATGATATTCTGTAAGTCGTAGCAATGAGTATTTGGATGAGCAAAAGAACAACCAATTTTACCAAAGAGAATCTTTCAAAGTTATCTACTTAATGTTGTATTTATCACACAAAATTATATTTTCATGGTAAAAATGTTTGTAATAGTTTTTTTCAAACGGGAGGAATTATTTTTTTCCACTTATTATACATAAAAATTATGCGAGTAAAATTTACTAAATATGCAACAAAAAAAAAATGTTAATTTGCAACATGTTTTGTGTTGCATTCATGCTTTTACAGCCAACTAAATGAAGATTGCATAACTCATACAACCTTTACTACTATAAGTTTTGTAAGAATTACGATTATTCTATTTGTATTTGGTTCAAATTTTATTTAGTTGAGTTTGGTTTCTATCAAGAAATGTTGTTTTTTGAAGAGATTTTTAATTCGGATTAGGTTTTTGAGTTCTGATATTCAATTCGACTACAATTCGAATTTAGTTAATTTGATTTTAAAAAATATTTTGAATTAATATTCGAATTGAATTCGATTTAGAAACTAATAAATTATTATTAATTTTTTTGCTTAAATTTTGTATCTTTTTAAAGGATGAATAGTAGCATATGATATATTTGGGCTAAAAATGATTCATATTTTCGGACAACAAATAACAAACAAGCAGGGATATTTGGGCTTTATCCATTAAATTTAAAAGTTACGAGCCCAAAATGTTTAAAATACCAAAATACCCTCAGTATAGCTGTAAATTAGCAAAATTATCCCCACATTTCGTACGTCCTCTCCATCGCCGGTCATACTCTCTAGGTTGCAGAGAAAAAGGGGGAAGGTTTAAATTAGGGTTTTTGCGGAGGAAACGAAGAGATGAGCCGCAGTTTGGGAATACCTGTGAAGCTTCTTCACGAAGCATCGGGTCATGTCGTCACTGTGGAGCTGAAGAGCTATTTATATTTATTGGACCAATAAGGGAGAAGAGTTTTGGGCTTATCCTCACGAGCAAAATACTTAAATTACTTAAATACCCTCTGCCCAGCTTTAAATATCGAGATTGTCCCTGATACACAACCTTTTGATTTTGCGTCTCCTCGTCATTCGCCATCTTACAGAGGTTGCAGAGAGAAAAGTGAAGGTTTAATTAGGGTTTTGCCGGAGGAGACGAAGAGATGAGTCGCAGTTTGGGAATACCGGTGAAGCTCCTTCACGAGGCCTCCGGTCATGTCGTCACTGTGGAGCTGAAGAGCGGTGAGCTTTACAGAGGAAGCATGATCGAGTGTGAGGATAACTGGAACTGTCAGCTCGAGAACATCACCTACACCGCCAAGGTAAATTGAAACCCTAGAATTTACGTTGTTTTTTTTTTATCTATATTTTTTTTTCCAAACCCTAAACCTCTTTTTTCCTGTCCGTTGTAAGCCGTTGTAAGTGGAGGAGGGTGCTGTGAAAAACCCTAGATTTGTGGAGCCAGAAATTTTATGAGCATGTGTAGAGAGTTAGATTGCTTTTGTTCATCTCAGTAGTACGGTCTAAGTACGTTCTGGCTCTTGCCTACGAGTAACAGACAATTACACTTCATCTCTGACTGTCTTTGGTTCATAGAACTTAACATGTTGTTCTTGGCGATCGTTACTGAACACTTGTTTGGGTTTCCCATTGTCCATGAACAGGATGGTAAGGTGTCTCAACTTGAGCATGTCTTCATCAGAGGCAGCAAAGTCAGGTGCTTTATCCACTGCTTCCCTGGACATCTTTATTTCTGATGTAATTTTTTGAAATCCTTCTCTGTTTAGCTGATTGATCGTTGGCATGTGGCAAAATCTTGACAGGTTTATGGTCATACCAGACATGCTGAAGAATGCTCCGATGTTCAAACGTTTAGATGCTAGAATTAAGGTACGTTTCCCGGTTCAGAATGGTCTTAGAGACTACTTGTATGTTTTTCTCCATCAACACGGAAAGTAACATCTTCATTGTGTAATAATGCAGGGTAAGAGCTCATCATTGGGTGTAGGCAGAGGTAGAGCTGTTGCGATGCGTGCCAAAGTAAGCCATCATTTTTTTTTCCAAATCCCTCTTCTGTTTATCTCTGACTTTCTATAAAAAATCTGTATCACTGAGGGTGAGGGGACATGGTTTGGAAACTTAATGCTGTATATATGTCTCCATTCTATGCCATGTTTAAGGTAGCAGAGCTCTGGTTCGACATTGGCTTGATTATATGATTAGTAATTGTTGAACATGTTAATCTCATGGGTGTTTGGCTCAGGCGGCTGGGCGTGGGGGGACCGGTGGAAGGGGTGCGGTTCCACCCGTGAGAAGGTGATTTACCCTCGGGAGTAGCTTCTACTCCAACACAATCCTCTGCATTTTCCTGGTAAAACGCTTGCCTTGCTCCTATTGTTTAGCCTTAGGGGCATACTGTAAAAACCAATGTACCATCGTTAACGATGACACGGGCATGAGAGACAGAGAGAGAGAGGTCCTGATGCTTTGTTTTTTGTATTTGGGTAGTAAGATGTTTGACATGTTTTCAGATGGTCTTTTGCTAATTCTTCATTTCTGTGGAAGAAATAGGAGTGCTGTGAAACTTTTATTTGGTGTTTGTCTTTGAAATGGTCCTTTCTTCTATGCTCGCCAAAACCATAAGGATCTGCTCCATACGAATAGCGTTTCGAATAGCGTTCTCTAGCGTTTGGATTAGTAGCGATTGAACGGGCTTTAATGGCGTTCTCTGGCGTCTCGTGTAGAACAACAACCGTATATGTTGTCGAGTGTTTTGAAACAGCGTTCGAACGCTGAATCTCTGTAGTCTCACGCATTTTATCTGTGAAATCCCTTGGGAGTTTAGTTTAGTTTAGTTTTTTTTTTTTTGCTAAACCAATTCATTGTTTTGTGAAACAATGCGAGTTAATTCTGAATTGTCAAACATGTTTTGTTTTAGGAAAAATCTCATAAAAAACCAAAAAAAAACACAATCAAAGTTGTTAAATCTGTATATAAAATTGTTTTTCGATTAAAGTTCGTTAAAGATCCGTTAAATTCTGTGTACAATTTGGGCGAAGTCATCGATGGTGTTATCAAGTCGTGGAAATTGCTTTTGATTAAAAAAAAATAGAGTATTTTCTGGATATATTTTAATATTTGATATATTTGTATTGAAATATTTTATAAAGCTTGTGATTTGTTTTTTCAGATTTTCATCAAACTAATTAGTCGAAGATCCAACTAGAAAAATTCTAACTTATAAAATTTTATTTCAATCGAAATACTACTTTTTTGGCTACTCAAAACCCTTGAAATAATTTTATTATATGTATATGTGAATTTAAATAATATAACAAATAACAACAGCAAAAAGTTTTCTAATTAGGTTGGCCTGCGCGTGGCGACAAGCTTTTCCTAACTTGGATCTTCATCTGAGTTTTCCCCACCAAATTAACTTCGGTCCCGACATCTCTTTCGCTGTCCCTTGAACTCGTCTCATGATCTGTTCCACGTTACATTAACAAAAGAAACATTCAAAAAAAAAAACGTTACAAGGTATATCATTGTCTCGGTTCACTCTCTCTCAAATCGCTTTTTTGATTACGAATATCCAAAGTTTGGATATCTAATTCTTACTCGGTATCCAATCCATATCTACAAACGATCCAAATATGAATATATATTTGCATATATATATATTTAAAAAATAATAATAACATAAGAAGGAGAGAATCGGACTCACCGATGGGAGGGAGGAAATGGGTTTGGCGAGAGAGGGCGAAGGAGTTGTCACGAAATGAAAACAAACATAGAAACACAAACATCAACTTGACACTATTTCCTCTTCTTTGTTCCATCTCTAACTCTCACGCCTTTGTATCGCTGCTCTATGCCTATACATATATATATGTATATATATACGCACGTATTGCAATTGTTAAAGAACGGAACAAAAGCAAGAGTGTGAATGCTTTTCTTTATAGTGGGAAGGAACGAGATGAGACCCATGGAATCATGGAGCGTCAAAAATAAAGAATTGTCAAGCGCGTTCGTTTGTCAATGCGTATTCAAAAGAAACGTTTTTATCTTATTCTTTAAAAAAAAAAAATCTATTCTTAATTTATAATATACATATTAACTACCGAATTTCATATCAAATACCTACCAAGTTTCATATCAATCAATAAAAACTGTTATAACCTCATATTTAATAATCTCCATAAAAAATTTAAATTCCAGATAATAATAATTAAAAAATATTTAAAAGTAAAAAATGAACATGGGGAAAATGAGAAAAACAAACTCTGAACGTTTGTAATTTCGACGGTCAACTCCTCAAACCAATTCTTTTCAATTTCGTAATGATTTTTTCCGATAAATGATGGCGTTGTAAATTTGTAATGTTTTTTCTTTTCGATGATGACAGGTATTCAACCATGGTAGTTCAACACTTAAGGTTATTTTATTCAAAATTAATATTTTGTAGGTTTTTTTTTATAATGATTGTGAAGTAGGCAGAGTTTTTAAATAAGTAATATAGTACACAGAAAAAGTTATTTATTGGAGGTGTAATAATAAATATTAAATTATTCAATAAAGTAATAATTATATAATATACAAGATTGGTTTATGCAAATACATCATATGCTTATTCTTATAGACAAGTTTAACTTTTCTCCCCTGCAAACATTAACTAAATTTACCCAAATTTGGATAGTTCAAACCGGTAAAATGGGATGCAAAATATTTATCCCGTTTTGATTTCGAATCTCAAATTTGAAAAAGGAAGATATAATCCAAATAACATGGCTTACTCCGGTTTCGAGATTAGTCTAGACCAAAACATGAACTAAATTTTACTGACCAAAACTACCACGAAATAACCAAAACCGGTTTAGGTGGCACCCGATTTAATCCAACCCGGCGCCAATTTAGCTGGTATCCTTTCTTGTAGCGTACTCAACTATCCATTCGACCAGGAAATCAAGTGAAGATAAACAAAACCGGTTTAGCTGGTAATTTAACCCAACCCAGTCCGGTTTAGTGGGTATTCTTTCTTGTAGCTTACTCTTAACTATCCAATTCAGCCAAGAAATTTAGAGAACAAACAATTTTGACTAAAATGTTGAATGGGAAGAGTTTTGAGAGTTTTGGATTTTAAAAATTGAAAAAATTTATAATAAAATTATTTAAAATTTAGCTTTCCTAAAAATCTAGAAATCTACTTTATGAAAAAAAATAACTAAAAAACCAAAAGTAGCAATTTTTTAGATTTACAAACTTATGAAATTCAAAAGCCAAAAATCAAAAATTAAAAACCAAAAAACAAAAACTAAAGCCAAAAAACTAAAATAAAAACCATTGTCATTCAAAACCTAAGAAAAAACCAGTTTAGCTGGCACCCAACTGGATCCGGTTTAGTTGGTATTGTTTGTTTCTTGTGGCATACTTAACTATCCATTCAGCAAGTGAACAAGGAAATCTAAAGAGTGAAAAACAATTCAGACTCTCAAGTGAAGAGATAAATGATCAAAAGGATTGAACAAGAAGAACCCTAACCCGATGTTCGGAAACAACAAGCAAACGTCAAAAGATACCGTACGTGTGTGTGTGTTCACATTTCCCCGCCCGGTAGCAACTTCTATTGCTCTAATCTCTCGAGCCGCTTCCCCTTTCTAGACACAAAAGGCAGAAAACTCGATCCGGAGTCATAGTCCTTGTGTCATTTTGATCTTTGAACATTAGAGAAGGAATGTAGCTGGTGAGTTTCTAGTAGCATAACCGAACTTAGACGTGCTGTACTTCTTGTGCACTCCGGTCAGTTTCCCTGACCCCGCCTTCTGATGGAAAGTCACCATCTTTCTCGAGCATTCCCTGCGAAAAATAGACGAAGCCCAGTATCAGAATCTGAAAACCCGTGATGATCTTTCGAAGAAATTTGAGAGATATGAATGGGTTTATTACAAAAGCTGTTCTTCTGTGTATCCAGTGTGAAACTCGCAGGTCTTGTTCCATTGCTTGAATCCGTCAAGTGTACACAGAGCAGTGTAGATAGCCGAAGCCGCTAAATGAGACGGAGGGTACTTCAGCATGTCGTGCTCCACAAGGCAAAGCTCGAGGATGAAGAACGATAGAAGCTCGAGCTGGAACACAGAGGTTGCATCCACCATTAGACGATCGAATGAACCTTTTTGAAAACATTCCAATCCACTAAACGATTCAAAAGATCGAACCTTTTTATCAGATTGTGCGACTTTCAGAAACCGTCTCATGAACACGTATGGTGTCGGAAGACAGAAATCGAATTGCAAGGTATTGGCCATAAGCTTCTCCTGCAACACAGGGACAAACGTTCCTTCACACAAGATGATGATATTATGTTATTATGAAGCAAGTATTATGCATCGACCCTGAAAGTTTTTACCATGTCGAGCACTTCTTTCCGGGTGTAAGCTTTGTCGGATATCAGAATGAGATCATCTACCACCGGAACCGAAACTTCCTCGTATTTGCAAGCGAGCAACATAGCCGTAACACCGACAAGCTGAAGCTTTTTCCTCGCGATTTGGTGGACGGCGAGAAATCTGTCGATGAGATTGACAGTGAGGTAAAGGGTTTCCTCCATCAGCTCAAATTTGTAGTGCACCTGCTCGTATTTCATATCACGTCAATATCGGATTTTCTTGAAGATCGAATTTGAACAAGAGTAGAATGTCATATTCTTCTTCTCGTTAACTCTACCTCGATCAACCAGTCGATGAGGATTCCTCTCATCCTCTCATTGATATCCTGTTGATTCTCCATGTAGTTTGGTGGTACACAGCTCCGGCACTACCCGAATGAAGAACAGTTAAACGTCTACCATTGATGATGATGATGATGATGATGAGAGCTCTGAAAAGATCTATATAAGACAACAACACTGATTAATTACCTCATTTTTCTTGTAGAAGGAATACAGATCATCGATATATTCAACCACAGCAAGAGGGTCGTTCTTGTCAGTACTGTCTATATCAATCACAGCCTCTTCTTCTTCTTCGTCATCCACGTCTTCCATTTCGATCTCCTCCTATGGAAAAAGCAAGCCGAAGAATCAGAATTTTCTTGTTCCAAATCAAACTGAAGGGTTTGACATATATCAATTACCATCCGGTCGATCTCGTCGAGCATTGCTTCGGTGTGTTGCACAAACATTGGCTCGTTGAAGTCTTCTTCATCGACATCTATGATGATTCTATCAGCCGGCTCGCATGAAACCGGGACCGATTTCTTGGTTTCCTGGACGTAAAGAGATTCGAGATTAGACCCGATAAAACGTCGTTTTCCTCAATGAACACGTTCCATTGTCACTTTCTTTGCGTAGACGGTACCTCTTGCTGCTTGTTGTCAGCTAACTGAGCAGCAAACTTTCTGCAAAATTCAACACCAAAGCTTATGTAAGGGATAACACAAACAATGTGACGCTCGATACAACGAAGCAAAAGCCGAGGAAATTACTTGCCTAGTTATTGGCCGATGCACCGGAACAAGAGGATTGTTCTTACTACTACAGATTGCATTCCTTCTGAAACCAGGGAAATTCAGAAACTAAATCAGGAAACTACCACCTCAGATCAGAGGAAATCCACAATAACCTCATCCACATGTATATTTCTAATCTATACATACATTATTTTTCCCCTTTATGCATATTCGAGGCCTAAAATTATAGTTCGTACTTCAGAGGATGTAAAATACAACTTCTAAGGATTATTACTCATTGAAAGAACTTACTCAGAGATTGCTCTCTTGTTGACAGCACAAGGATAAGGAGAAGCTCCGATTATGATGTTCTTGTTAATTGTACTGAGTGCTCTCCGAGTCTGCCCGGTTTTCGGTATGAACTTCCCTCCCACACCACCTCGCAAACCACCTTCTCCTGTTGCAGATTCAGACAGATACATGGATGATTTGACAAAACACAAAAACTTGAGATTTCATGTCCGAGAAAATGATCTGTGAGATTGTTCTTTTGATAAACCCAGAGATGAATACAAAAGGATAGATTACCATGGAGATTCATGGCTCCAATGACTCCAAGATTGTTCTCGTCTGATCCAGCCATTTTCTTCGTCACCTACAGAGAAAAAATCCACAGCAAATGCTTAAAAAAAACCCCACGGAAATCGATTTGAAAACCTTACATGACCCGAACTTAAATCCATTGAAAAGAGTATCCTCTGGATCCGATGCTAGAATCTGAAAAGATCCTATCAAGAACAAGACCCGATTTCAAAAACCCAGATGAAAAAATTCCCAAAATTTACCTTCCGCTTACAAGAAACCCAGGAAAAATTTTACAACCCTGATCTAGAAATTGCAAGATCGGACTCTAGAGAGATAGAATCTCCAGCGATCAAACCCAAATCGATCGAATGGAGGTAGCGATTTCTCACAAAAACCCCATGGAATCCGAAACCCCCATTCAAAAGCAATCAATCGACCTCCCACAAAACTCCCCTATCTCTCTTTCTCTCGATCAAATCTCCAACGGCTAAAGATGATCTCTCGCTTCTACGAGAAAGGGGAAAAGGGAAGAAAGAGGAATGAGAGAGGCGGAAGTGAGTAGAGAGATTTGAAGACGGGAAGA